ATTATAGTATGTAATAATAAAAATAATATTAATAATAATAACAACAACAATAATAGTTTAAAATCTTTTAGTTAAATTGAAGTATGATTGAACTGTTGTAAAGATAAGGTTATTAATTTCGTTTGTGGAGTCATGCAAGCCGTAGAGTAGAGTTTTGCTGTTCTTATACTCATCAGGTAATGTAGAAATGGTTTTTCGCCGAAAAGTATTGAAGTTTGGACAGTGTAAAATATAGTGTTCGCTATCCTCGAAAAGGTGACCACAATTGCAAGCTGGATTTTCAGAGATGTGTCTAAAAAACAGGTGACCATTTAAGTCACTGCATGAAAGTCGTAGTTTGCTGTTTTCCTAGAGTCAATGTAGAAATGTTTTGGGGGTTTAGAGTCATGTTCGGAGAGCTTCCGTTTAAAAGAAGAGAGACTTGTTGCACGTTTTGTTGACTGGTCTAACCGGTTCCATTCCTTTATTGCGGATGGTACAAATGAGTTGGAAAATATTTTCGTTCCACACCGATATTCAGTGAAATCATTTATATTTCTAAAAATGTACGAAGATTTTCTAGGGAGTGGGAATAGTGTAGAAAGATAATTTGGTGTAGTATTATTGAAGATTTTATAGACAAGTTTGTGTCTTCGTCGACGTTCTTTTAGAGGAATGAAACCGGTCTCTTTGTAAAGAGAATCGTGGCTCGTACCTTTAAGCGGTGGCTTAGTAATTTTCGCTTTAGTGCTGATCGTCAGAGTTTCAGTTTTAAGGGGATTAAAGGTAACCAGCCAGGTTTTAGCCCAGTCATTAATAGTTTCGAGATCAGTATTAAGAGTATTGGCGCTTGCAATCGGGTCATCGATTTTGAGGAAGAGCGAGGTATCATCGGCAAATAATCTGACATTTGATTTAATATTCTCAACAATATTGTTGATGTAAATAAGGAAAAGCAAAGGACCGAGGGCCGAGCCTTGGGGGACACCAGCAGGGATTACTTTGGCTTCAGAGGCAACTCCATTTAGTACTACTTTCTGTTGTCTATTTGAAAGATAATTGCCAAACAAATCTAGCAAGTCTCCCCTGATTCCAACGCCACCTAGCTTCCAACATAGTCCAGCGTGCCAGACACGGTCAAAGGCCTTGCTGATGTCACAGAAGACAATTCTGGTGTGTGAATGGTTATCAATGGCTTGATAAAACATATGTGTTAATTCTATTAGTTGGTATATAGTACTGTCACCTTGAAGAAATCCGCTTTGAAACGTTGTTAGTATTTGACAATCCCGCAAGAAGTTAAAGACATGCTTATAGATTACTTTTTCGAATACTTTAATTATAATGCTTAACAATGAGACAGGTCTGTAGTTTCCACATTCATTAGGAGATCCTTTCTTAAATACGGCCGTGACGTTGGCAAATTTCCAAATTTGGGGAACCTTTTTTGTTTCTAGAGAGAGTTTGAATAAAGTACAAAGTGGAGAGGAAATTTAAGTAATTTGGCACTGATGTCATCGGGGCCAGATGCTTTTGATATATTCAAACTGTTGATGATATCTTTAACTTCTTGATGGGTTGGTACGATCTGCGTTAGTGAGTTCGGATTTTGTCTAATAGGGGAAAAGCGGTGTTTAATTCGGATTGTTCAATGAAGAAATTATTGAGTGCATTGGCCTTTTTTTCTGGGGCAAAAAGGGTGTCATTGTTAACAACTAAAGGTGGCATATCTGTCTTTGTTGTCCCTTGGCCTTTCACAAATGAATTACGTCATCACTTCCATACATAGAATGCACGAGTCAATGTGAACTTCTCAAACGTTTTAGAAAGCGTAAGCATGTCCCGCCTCGTGTATTATAACCTGGAGTGATGGCTTGGAGATGGATTTCTAGTGGTCTAGAGCATAGCGCTCCAAGGTCTAGCTGTCCGGCCACTTTTGGCTTGCCGCCGTGTTTTTGATCCCAAATGTGAGCGTATGTGGCTTGGAGACAGGGGCGCCTTCTCATTGTCGTGGGTTTACTCCGTGTTCCACCCCCCCCCCCCCCCTGCGCGTGCACCAAGCCCAATACTAAAAGAGAACTTGTCTGCGATATCACCATCGGTGGAAGAGGACGTTAAACACTAATAAAAGAAAGTTGGGGGGGGGGGGTACAAATTATCGTTTATAGAATTTGATACGGCCTGTGCACCAAGCTTTATGTAACTTAAATGTAGCTAATGGGGCCAATACACGTTCAAAAAAAAACAAAAACATCAAACCTTTGACTCAACATTTTGATGGAGAAATTTGATACATAATTTTGATGTGCAATTGTATGGAAGGGTATCGCTGCCAATATTAAATGTTCTGCGACAAAGTCTTTTCTATTGATTATATGCAAAAAATACAATGTACAAAGTCCTAATACCGATATTGATAAAGTCAAAATACCTCTAAGGCAAGAGTTACATGTAAAACGTCAAATGTTAAGTGTTAAATGACAAATGTTTTGTGTGAAAATGCTTTTTTTGACGTGTCTACATTTTACATTTCTCTCATTACATTTTACATTTGCTCTCTGCCACATCCCATTTGTCCTTCACGCATTTTACATAGCATGTTTCGCACAGCATCAACTTGCATATGCAAATGTAGGATATCACGTGACTTATTAACATATACGGAAACCTGGCACACTATAAGCCAGAACAAGGATATTCACGACACTATAACAGGAAATCAGCCTAGCACACAATAAAAATTTACTCACCTTGACACTTTGGATGGCACTTTATGATGATTACGGGGGGGGGGCTATGCAATGTCCAAATACGAAATTTCAGGTATCATGTTACATACTAGTGAAAATAACATTCATTTCTGTTTGTAAATATGTAAATAGTTTTCTGGTACAATCGTATTTTCATAATTTAAATCCAATAAATATCACACTATTAAAGGGGTATTCAAGTAAAAATACTGATCTAAATACGAAATTCCAGATACTATGTTAAGTATCACTGATTGCTCTTTACAAATATGCAAATAATTTTCTGGCACATTCATATTTGCTTAACTTTACAAAATAAGATTAAAGTTGAAGTGAAGGAAGGGGGGGGGGGGGAGAAACTAAACTAAAATAAAGATACAGGGCTTAATCCAAAATTCTCTATGTCCATACTAAAATATGTATAGTCAATCCTCTCTTTAAATATATTATTTATTTGTTGGGCACAATGCTTATATATTGTTGTTTTTTTAATGGATCAAAGTAGGCTACTCAACTCTGTTTATAGAGAGACCGGAAAGAATGGGGGTGTTTAAAATATAAAAATACGGGTATTAATACGAAATTCCAGTTATTGTGTTATAAATTACTGGAAAGTATGTTTCTTTGGCTGCTTGGATCTATCAATTATTTCCTGGCACATTCAAAATTACGCACGGTCGTCTAGATAGTTTCTTATGGTGTGCCAGCTTGATTTCTTTTGTCGTGCGGTGAATATCCTTATAGTGTGCTTGTGTCGGGTTTCCATATTATGTTAATAAGTCACGTGATATCCTACATTTGCATATGCAATTCGATGCTGTGCGAAAGTTGCTATGTAGAAAGCGTGAAGGACAAATGGGATGTGGCAGAGCGCAAATGTAAAATGTAATGAGAGAAATGTAAAATGTAGACACGTCAAAAAAAGCATTCTACCACAAAACATTTGTCATTTAACATTTAACATTTGACGTTTTACATTTAACTCTTGCCTTAGAGGTATTTTGACTTTATGAATGTACTTTGTACATTGTACTTTTGTACTTTTAATCAATGGAAACGACATTGTCGCAGAGCATTTAAAATTGGCAGCGATACTCTTCCATACAATTGCCCAATGACAATTCAATGATTTTCCACCAAAAATCAGTCTTGTCAAAATCTCTCAGTCAATGCGGTTTTTTTTAAAAATCAAAACGGCTCATACACGGTCAAAATTTCATATCAAAATTTTGATTTAAAATTCTGTTGATGTTTTTTTTTAAAGTGTATGGGCACTTTTAAATTCTGCCCTGGTTCCTGTATATAATATGGATACAATAACAAGTGATGCGCCTTAGTTAAACTCGCTTGATTTATAGTTAGACATGTTATTTAATCAGCAAACTTTACAGTGTGCGAGAACGGTAGCATTTTTTGAAATAAACAAATACAGGTAAGTGATCATAAATTTAAATACAGAAGATTTAAAAAGATGTCGATGACAAAAAGGCAATATACACAATTAATATATGAGTGGTGGTGTGATTTGGATCCACGTGCTAGTTTTAGTTGAAACGAAGTTTTTTTTTTAACGTTTACTTAGTTGATATACGGTTTTAATAAAACGATGACGTATTAATTATGATATATGTTATGTCACTTTGTAACCCGAAAAAAAGATTAAAAACTGTTAACATGCCCTGATGAATAAATAAAAGAATTCCCAACACTCCTTAAACTGTAAATGACGTTACACAGCAAGGGGTCTCAAAGGCTGCAGACAATTTTATAGTAAATTAGGCATAATTATGAAACTTTATCGGGAGTAGGTCTATGTATAAGAATTTTCTACCCCCCCCCCCCACAAAAAAAACGACAGCTGATTAAGGTATGGTCATTATTTGCAATTAATTTGTTTCAGATATATTTGTCAAACTGAAAGAATGATGGCTCGTAAATTTTTCATTGAAATTCGAAAATGTTCTTACTTACATCTGATAAAGTTTGTTGTCTTGGGGCAGAGCAGATTATGATTTTAAAATTTTTCACAAATTTAAACCATATTCTTTGGATTATCTGTTAAAACAAGTTTCTACAAGATGTTCCTTGTCATACCCTGTTATACGCAATCATGTATACAAACTATGACATCCGGTGTTTTTTTTTATAGTTTTTTTTATAAACGATATCTATATGTATGCTGTGGTTTAGCTGGAGGGAGCAGTGGATACCAAAACATTCCAAGATGTAATCATACGAAACATTAATTTATTTTGTATATATTTCAGACATCCACAGCTACCTCCTTCATTACATTCCAATACAGAAACAGACGTGAAAAACAGACGACATGACCATTATCTATCAATACAAAGTGGCTACCACATCACTCGGAGGCTTTGCCAAACTATTGGCAGCCTGGAAGGGCAGTGTTTATAAACTTATGTTCAAAGAGATGTTAATTTTCGCGGGAGCGTACTTCCTGATCAGCATCACTTATAGATTAGCTTTAACACCGGATCAAAAACTGTAAGTTATCCCAAAACGCTTTCACATTCTATTTATAAGCACACCCATCCTATAATTTATAAAATAAAAATAGAATACGTTTTAAAATAGCTTACCAATACGTCCCTACCGCACAGACTCTTCTCACTATTGGCCGTATAAATATGTACCCGTTCATATATATACTGCAGATGGGATACCATTGGGTAATGTTGGAGAGTAATATCTTGATAGAAGGGGTCATTCGTTTACACCTGATAAATCTGTCCCCGAAACATGTTCTCGTAGACGTACAACGTGTTTTTGAGCATTTAAATTGCGAAAAAAATTCGTCTTTTATATCTTTAATTTGTAGTTTAACTACAACGTTTAATCTCCTTGCACCGATCACTGATGTGATTTGCTTATGGAAGATTATATTTGGATCATCTATCAGTTAGAGAAAAAAAAGTCAACAGGATGATACCCATATTATGGTCACAACGGGGACACGTTTTAAGGGGATTTATTTTGTTTAAATGTTACAGAAAACCGGTACCTACACCGGCTTTTGTCTATGAAGTAAAACTTTCAGCGGAGAGATATTGTCATAACACAAATCAAATCAACACATAAAACACGGTGTAATCGACATTATTTTTAGGAAACTAGTGTACCCTTGGGCGACTCTGATTACATTCCCGTTTTGTCAATTCATAAAATTGTCTTAAGAACACCTGTCTTAAAGATACAAGGATACATTTTTATATACTTAATATAAATAATGACAAGCGATACCGATAAAAAAAAATCCTCCAACCAAACCCCAATATGCCATATCATTCGGTGTGGAATTGGATGTAAAATCCCAGAAGAACACTAGTAGTAGAATATTGGAAGTGTTGCTTAAAAATGATAACAAAAATATTTTTTTAATATTCTTAAGTTCATAATATTTTGATTCTTGGTTATCTTCGCATCGGTGACAGATCTTAATGGAAATTATCATAGAAGTAGCATTATCTCTATGAAATAACAGCCCAGCATGCCGTTTATATAAACATAATATGACACCAAGATCTAAATCAAAATGAATCATGTTATTGCCTTCATACCTTGTTGTACTTACGTATCTTACATTCCTTCAGCTAATATACTCTTGTCTCTTGTAGCATTAATTGTTGTTTTCTTGCCCTGTAATGTCAAATATGGTTGTTTTTGGCATTATTTTTGTATTTTAATTGTTGCTTTATGTGCTCTTCATTAGAAATTGTTTGTTTTTGTTGCAATGCTTGTTGAAATAAATGCGATACCACGTTCTAAGAACGTCAACCAAGGACATCATTTAATTATTAGGATATAGATGCGAATTATAATTGAACTAATTGCCTTTTGATGATCGGGTCAAAAATGAAAAGTGGGGTAGGCCTACGACACTCTGTTTATTAACTGTTTGCGCTGAAATCTGCTTTAAGTAGCTAAGCCTCTAACTCAATACCATCCAACGTCTTCGACATTGAGAACACGAATTATTTGTCAATTTAAATCAACATTGATGTTATGATCTTACCGGGAAACGATGGGCTTCTGATATCCAATATTTAAGAAAAAATAAACATTTTACCATTGGTACACGAATCGTGCACCATAATGCGTTTCAGTGCAATTTGTAACAAAGGACGTGAAGAACATGAAAAAATAGCGGCACACCTGGCTAAATATATATGAAAAATATTTGAATTTTGCAAAATAAAAACATAGCAAGTCACAGACGGCATACAACCGTAGACACATAGAATGACTCAAACTAAATAAAGAAAAACACAGCTATGAACTTACTTTATTGCAGTGTTTCGAATTTACAGCGTTTCTGTAAAAATATTACATTATTATATGCGGTGAGACCCATTTGTGTCAATTTCTAGGTCCCAAAGGTGTGTCAAAAAAATTTTTTTTTGAGAACCACCCAGTTAGCGACCTACCTCAGTTAAACTGAGCTTAAATCATTTTGAACTTTTACCTTTCAGCCTTTTCGAAAAAATCGTAACTCATTGCAACACTTTCACAAGTTTAATACCAGTTTCTTTTGTGCTGGGTTTCTATGTATCTTTTGTTGTAAAAAGATGGTGGGAACAATTTATGAATGTTCCTTGGCCAGACAGGTAAACTCCTTTTTTTTATAAGTAACAGATGATATGTTACGAATGAATATTACTTATGGGGGGTCTGCTATAAATCATTATTATAAAGATAAACGTAAGACCCAGCGTCACGCTTGCAGACGACCAAAAAGTGAAGAAATCGGTACTAACCGTTACGTAAGAAACAAATGCCACAAAACAGAATTATCCAAGTGAATTATGTATAGGGGCAAAAGTCCTACCTGTAAATGTGTTTCGGAAAGGTTATAGAGTATACCCTGCCTAATGCAAGAAACCCAATTTGGATTCCAATTTAAAATCCAGTCATTAAAATAACCGTGAAACATTGTGATTAATTTAAATGTCCTCTACCGCTTGAGTCAAATGATATTAAAATAATCTGGGGGGAGTGGTGGGGGCAGCTTTTAGTTATTTTTGAATGTTAGGACCTGGGGTGGTTGAATGGTTTAATGTGTGAGCGTTATATATATGACCAGGTCTATCATTGAGGCAAGTGGCGTGGTTTCGAATTCAATGCCCTGCATGTACGTGACAAGGAGTAGGGTCGCCTGTCCAGCCTCGTGAGTTTTCTCCGGGTCTTCCGGTTTCCTCCCACAGCTAAAGACCCCTACGTGCAAGCGACTTATTGAAATAAAATTGAACCATATGCTAGTCCCGAAATAACACAGTTAAAGTGGACGGGCAATTCAGTGTTCCCAACACCCAGGTTCAGGTGCGTCTGCTCCCACAGAATTTATTTCTTGAAATTGCTCTTATCTATCAAAATATCACATTGCTTTTGTGGGAAACACGAGTCTTTGGTAGCTCCGCCATCCTAAAAGCTAAACAAAAAACTAGAAGCAGATGACTATTTAATTAATATGGAGACGGACAGGGCATAGGTGAAGTATACTACTAAAATAAGATTTGTGGGTTGGCAGTGAATCTCAGTCATAATATCAGATTTGAGATGACATTTAGACAGTTTAATGGCATCTTTGTTTTTTATTTTGCAGAACATTGTTTATAATGAATACCTATTTACACAGCGATGATGACAGAGCTAGAATAATGAGGAGAACAATAGCTAGATATATGTTACTTGGTCTTATTATAATATGTCGTTCTGTTAGTGTAGCTGTCATGAAAAGATTTCCTACTATGGACCATCTGATCGAGGCAGGTAAACACTAAATATGTACTGAGTCTTTAGATTTACTTTTAAAGCAGACGAATCAACCCTTTTTTATTCTAACAATATACATATAACAATGCAATATTTTCTTAGCTTCTTCTGGACACTAACGTTCAAATGTCGCACTAAATTAAACACTGCGTTCCTGACAAAGCTGGTGGAACCAGGACAAGCAATTGTCCTTTGGAAATGATGGAAACACCGCTAACCGTTAATTTCCTATTAACACATTTGACGTAGATCGCTGTATTTTAAGTCTGGGGACGACGTATTGAAAGATCATGATTGTAGTGTTTATGCTGAAGACACGTGTTTGTAGCTATCGACAACGATAGTGCCCTCCGGACCCAGATAGTGTCGAAGTCATCATCCATTTAATTCGAGATATATGGGAATCACGGTGGCTAAGTGGTAAGGCGCTGGCTCGCTAGCCTGGAGGTCGGGTGTTTGATCCTTGCATTGGACTAGAAAGTTCATCCAGATTTTCCGGCGTGGTTCCCCATTGTCAGTGATGCAGGACGGAGGGTCTGACAAGGACAGCTTTCTAGTCATTCGGACGTGCAATTAAAAGATCCCTTGACAGTTGGAATTTGATATAAGAGTAGGCCGTTGTGCCGCTGTCTGGGCAAAATTTCCCTCATAGCACATTGTATGGCGTATGCCCGTCTTCATTATCCCAGTTCGGAGCAGAACAGTAGAACGTTAAACCCCATTTCATTTCATTTCAATTCGAGATATGCGAACACATAACCACCGTCTGAATCATTATGTTGGCTTCTTAACAGTAAGCACTGGACAGTCGGGCCAGTAAGGGTCGAACGTGCGAGTCACAAAACTGTCCCAAATATTATAGTAAAGCTATAGTGCGAGACTGTTTTGCTAAGTTGTAGTATATATACTTGCCTTTAAAGTAGCTAAGTCTCTAACTCAATATCCTCCAAAGTCATACACGTTGAAAATACGAATTATTTGTCAATTCAAATCAACATTGATGTTGTGATTCTTACCTGGAAAAGATGGGCTTCTGATATCCAATATTTAAGACAGAATAAACATTTTACCATTGGTACACGAATCGTGTACCATAGTGCGTTTTAGCGTCATTTGCAACAAGTGACCAGAAAGAACGAGGCTAGACATATTCAACTGGAGAACCTGCTCAATAGACTGGATTAACCAGACGCTAGAAATTGCTATAGGGTTGAGACACAGGCCGCATTTCGCTGGACATAACTGATTTGAAATTAGAGTCAAAACGGAAACAATTGAATGTAAATCAGTTTATATACAATCAGATTACATTATTAAATGCGTTGCAGTCCATTTTGGTCAATTCCTAGGTCCCAAATATTAGCGATTTAGCTCCTTTAAGTTTATTCTCATGACTTACCTTTGACTATTTCTCTAAAAATAGTGTTTAAAAATAGAGAAGATTACTGAATGAGCTTTATATTTGTAGGTTTTGCAACCAAAGAAGAAATTGAGATGTTTGAAAATACTAAATGTAAATACAACAAATTTTGGGTACCCTTGATGTGGGCTAACAATATTTTAATTCAAGCCAGAAGGGAGAGAAAAATCGACAACGATTTTGGTCTTCGAATGATTATTGAGGTGGGTAATAACCATAAACTCTTAAAAGGTTTGAATTATTTCTCAGATCAAAGAACAAGAAAGATTAAGTATCACAATTTATATTCTGACAGGTGCTTTATTTGTAGCTTAGTCTAATCAGTCTAAATTTCATTGGGCCACTGTTCACTTTCATAAACTCTGGCCATCTCGGCCAATCGGATTTCAGATGGCCTATCTAACGTTTTTTGGCTTTTATGCAGCCTGGAAGAAGACCTACTCAATTACGACCTGGACTGCAGGGATATTACCATAGCATGGATCGAATTTTAATCTCATTTTACATGTCTTGGTCGCGGCCCTGTGCTGTGTACAGGATGTATTACCTGCCCTCGAAATAGATTGGAATCTCTTACCTTAATCATGTGAGGTCATTCTTAGGACACGGAATTCGTCGACCCGCTGAATTCGTGTTGGGCTCGATAACCAATACCATTCCCCATCCCATATAATTTTCATGTATGAATTGATAAAACAAAAGCCTATAATCGTAGCACCTTATCAATATGAAAAATTCAAGTATTAATAGGTATTCTGTTTTCGATAACGAGCTAAGATAAAAGAAACCTTAAAATCTGCATACATTTTACAGCTGTACCTTTGTTTCAGCAACTGGCGGCATTTAGAGATAGATGTTCTTTATGTTTTGTATATGATTGGATAACAATACCTTTAGTATATACACAAGTGAGTATATGATTAGATACACATTAAAAAATAAATCACCTAAACCTTTATCAATTTGAACCGTTTATCAATTCGGTGCATTAATGGTATTGTTAGATTGGATTTATTTTATTGTACAATGAAATTAACCATCCATAGCCTAAATAAAATCCGATGTTAAAAGGATGTCAGTCTCTTTATAATTATAAAGTTGGAATTATTGTATCTTCTAGAAACGGATGTCCTGTCTTGAAAATTGGCGGGAGTGGGTGGGGCCTGTGGGGATATTATGCTGAAGGGTCCATTTCTAGTTTGGTGGGTGTTAATAATAACCAGTTCTAACGTATTTTTTAAAAAAATAATTCTAATTGTATGAACTGTTAATAGATTTCTTTAATGAATATCAGATGGTCTGTTTCAGGTTGCTACTCTGTCTGTTTATATGTTTTTCGCTACCTGTTTATTAGGACGACAGTATCTAGATACTAGTAAAAAATATCCTGGTTATGATATTGATTTCTACTTTCCATTATTTACCTTATTACAGTTCTTCTTTTACATGGGTTGGTTAAAGGTACGTACCAGTTATTATAGGCACGTAACTGCAAACCAGTTGTTCTGAGACGGGACTTACAGAATCATTGTTGTTCTATAAATGGAACTGGATTTTTTAGCAAAGTTACCTAGGAAATGCCGCCTATAAGGTGTACACAATAATGGCACCGTAAATCCAACTATGGTGGCACCATAAATTTACTCCAATTTGTCTATTGTTGCAATTATCCATGATAGATAAAGAGCCTTGCTTAGCTCTAGTAGTCGAGTCCATTCACCTATATTTAGTTGACTGTGATCGGCGCCAGTTGTGTGAATAGTAATTGGCTGTTCCGATAATGACTTAAGGAAAATGGTATCTGTATCCACCAGTTAACAAATGGTTCTGTAGACATACGTGTCCTTCGATCACAAAATGAAAGCCATTTTTTCTCAACTAAGATTCGCTGCACGGGATAATTTCAGCTAGGACGACCGATATAGACTTAGTTTTAAAACTGCTCAATCTCTGTTAAATTTTGCATATTATATCGGCATTGAATCAAAATAAATATTGGTAGTTTCTCATTCTTTGACAATAGAACTTGATTATCTTCCAGGTTGCTGAACAACTAATCAACCCTTTTGGTGAAGACGATGATGATTTTGATATCAACTGGCTAATAGATAGGCACACGGAGGTATATTTGACTTTTTAATAATGGTTGGCCTACGATCATCTCTTATTTTGAATTCCAGCTGTCAAGAGTTCTTTAACGTGCACACCAGTGTTTATTTGGGACTTCGTTTTTTCGTCCCATCCGAACGACTGAACTATGTCCTTGCAAGGCTCTTCACTCTGCAACACTGCTAAGGGTAATAACGCTGGAAAATTACAGGGAAACTTTCTCGGCCAACCCCGGGATCGAACCCCCTACCCCCTAGATCTGAGCCGCCGGGGCTTAGGATTAGCCCTATGAAATACAAGTCGAAAATCTTACGATCTCGGCGAATGTTAAAATGACATGTTTACTTTTATCATAATAATAGTGGTTTGTCTTAGCTATGTAATAGTTAGTGCAGTAGGATCGCCCAACACACAAACCCCCTAAAAAGACAAATTCGCAGAGAAGACACACATACATTACGTCATGGAATAAACAAGGTATCAAATCAAATGACTGGGTCCTGGGGATCATCCATTACCGTCTACTGTACTACCCTCTATACAGTCCCGGGACTGTTGTGATACAGGTTTCGCTCAGAAAGAAATCAAAATAACAATGACGGAGATAATCCACGAAATGATCTTTCTTACATATAGGTTAATTAGAATTTGATATGGGAGTGTATACACATTTTATCAATATAATCCATTGTCATGTTTGTAGGTGGCGTTTTCTCTAGTAGATCAATGTTATGGTAAATATCCTAAGTTAGTTCAAGATAAATTCTGGAATGATGAAGTCGTGCCAGATTTACCATATACAGAGGCTTCCAAGAATTCCAAGAAACCAAATTACCTAGGATCTACATATAATTTATCGTAAGAATAACTTTTAAAAAGAATTTTTTTAATAAAGTTAGTGCCGCCAAACTCCTCAGCTCACAGATCCACACAATTTACATCCAAATTTAGTTGCATCTCCTCATCTGGTGAAAATGATTACTAAAAACGAAAGAAAATTTTTGTTCGTTAAGAGGTTGTAACCTAGTATTGATGATACAATAGTAGAAAGGGTGTTTAATTTCTTGAATTTAACATATAAATCAATATATCGTTTGTGAATTTCATAAAACAACTTTATTAATATATCATTGGAAAATGTCTCCCCAAAAGCTTATGGAGTCTATATATTCGAGTCTTATAGTTAATTAATTTTTTTTTACAGTAAACCCTCCCCGGACGATCAGCGTTTATTTGTTCCTCATCCCAATGTAAACGGCTTTGGTGTGAGAAACAGGAATAAGGACTCCCTTACCAGTAATATAGGAGATTCAGTCATAAGTTTATTTACTGGAAGAGGAAATGTCCCGTATGTATATTTAGTATTTACAAACGCCTTAGCATTATTAAGTATTTTCATTGTCTTAAATACACACCTTACTTGTAAATCCATCAAATAATAGTCGCAAAAAGCGTTTACGAAACGGTCGTATGCGCGGGTTTAATGATTTATTGAACTATATATATATATTTGGCACATATCTCAGATCTATTGTTATATTTTACGACGTGTTTATAAACCTTTAACAGTAAATCTTATCGTTGGGGTATAAAATGAAATGAAATGAAATGGGGTTTAACGTCCAACTGGTCTGCTCCGAACTGGGCTAATGAAGACGGACATACGCCATACAGTATTTCTTTTTGGGGGCTTAATTTCTTCAGTCTTTCTTTTCCCAGCATAACCACAGTCTCGTGCTTTATCTTACACTTAATACATAAATCTCTTGTTATTCTTTACTGTAAAATACCTTTGAATCTGATTTTAGGAAACAATACTATGATTCCAGAGAAACTCTATGTTCTGTTGCTGGTAGCGAGAAAATGTTTAATAATTTACATTCTAATGGCGGTCCTGGTTATACACAGCTACCGTCCATTGTCATCAGCGAGCCACGACTGCGTAGAGCGTCTGCAGATCTTCCTATAAACACAGAGGAACTAAATGAGTTAAGGCGAGAAAGGGCTAGTACAGATTGTGACGAAAGAGGTATGTTGAAGTCAGAAAGAGAAAGAAAGTTCAGTACACCATTTAACTTCCCTTTCTTTAGTCGTGAAGAAAAGAAAACTGAAGACACACTTCTGCCAAAACCACCTTCAAGGTATGCTTATCTTTGCCACTGGCCTATCTTCCTTCAACACCTCCAACATTTGAAATTTGCCGATGTACTTTGCATACCTCACATTTTATGCATTGTTGACGCCACTATGTGTCCGTACGTCTATATGTGCATCCACAGTCGTAGTTTTTGAGACAAAAAAAATATTGACCCAGTAACCGAAACCTTGGTAGCCTAAGCGACCTACGTAAAACTACCACTACCAGATCACAATAATTGTCATTGTGGAAGGGGTGGATTTAATAATGATTGCCATTTGGAGAAAAAAAAAGGTTGGGTTTATTAAAACTTGCTCAGTTGAATTTCTGTGTATAAGAAGTCCCACAACGAATCTATAGACTAGCCTGCATAGTTTTGTTCCTTGCTTGTTTTCGGAAAATGGGTGGCGGTGGGGTTATCCACCGTGTTATCAACTCGAAATACGTAAACTGAACAAAAATTGTCCAAAATAGTTATTTTTTAAAACAATGGACACAGTCGTTTTATAAAGATACCCAGATTCCGTTTCCATTTTAGCCTTTTATATAAATCTGGAAACACTAAAAAATGGCAGGGTCTAATAATAATTGTTGTAATGAAGGGATAGATGGAGAAAACATTATCTCATGCAAGTCTCACTATCCCGCATTTGTGTCAACTTCAAGGAAAGACAACCCCGTTTGACAGAATGAGAGAAAAATGACTAATAACGACGTCATAATGGAATCTGTGACGTCAGGCCATAACAACGTCACGGCCTAGCTACAAAATCCTAGGAGATATATGAAGTCAAGGAGATTTTAGCCATATTGGTGAACCTTTTTGATATTGTCTAAGAATTTCAACAAGTTAAAGATGATTGTGTCATCTGCGGTTCAAGCGTTTGATCACAATGTTAGTAGACCTGATGATAGCAACAGCATCGTCAACATCGTTCATGATCATCTGAATCATCGATCTGATTCCCAGAATGAGACTGAGACTAGTGAAAGTCAGACGAATAATTTTGCAACTGGAAGTAGGCCTAGGCCTAGTGGAAGACGATCATCATTCTTTTACAAAGTTTTTTCATCTGCTCTTGAGGTAAGTTCATCACTTCATACACCCAAAAATTTGTAGCCTACTGCTGTTAGCAATTTTTATAACAATAACACCGTGTAAAGTTGACTATGCGTATGACACTGAAGTGAATCTAGCTGGTCAACATAAAATCTTAGCCCTGCCCCTAGCAGTGCCACTGCTACTGTACTGACTGTAGCACTTTTGTTATTCCCTGTAAGATCGAGGCTACGGCCGTAGATTTTTGGTAAAGACCCGATTACGAAAAATAAAATAAAAGTGCGGCGTAGCCGTATTTCTTTTATGGTAATGTAATAGACCTACTAATAATAATATTAATAATAATAATGTTTTTTATTTATTTATTGCAGCTTTGTAAGCAGGAATTGCGGCTATTGTCATTGAACACTCAAAGAGTTTCACTGAAAATAGTTGGTCGTGATTTGCAAAGGTAAAATAGTAGTTTCTAAAATTGAAATTAACAACTCACAAGCCGTGACAAGGTCAAGGATAAATAAGATATCTTGTACAGGGATACTAATACCTTAATTAAGAGAGAGAAAGAGGGGGGGGGGGATTTTGTACAGATAATAATCAAGGGGGAGTTTTATGTTTTTATGTTCTTTAGTCATGGTATAATTATTTTAAATTTAATCCGGTAGAAATTCGGTCATCATTTTAGATGTAACATTGGATGTAGGCCCTATCAATAAAGCAAGATTTAAAATTGATAATAACTATTTAACGTATAGTTCAAATCAGAAGTTCACGAAAGAACTAGTAACTCAAACTGGTTTTTTTATCTTCCAGAAGTATCGTTGGTGGGTATGCTTTCACTGAAGAAGAATCATGGAAACAAGGGAATGGCGAAACTAATACCTTTAAACCTGTTTGGTTAAAAGGATGTGATCCCCAGCAAAAATTTTGCCTAATTCCTTTGAAAACTCACAAACCTACCAGTACCACAACATCCACACAGACCAGTGCTCAAGCTACTATCAATGATCTGGAAATACTGCTCTCAAAACTCGTCAATAACGACGACATTAAAATAGAAGTTCTGGTTACAAAGAAAAATGGAGATAAGTCAAAGATTAATATCAAGACGCTACTTGGAAATATTGGCGAGCACAAAGAAATCATTTATGGTTTGTCTCCACCATCCATGTCAACTCAAACTGTTGATCCAGTTAAACATCGAGATATTAGCTGTCAAACTGTTGATCTTGATCTAGTTAAACATCAAGATATTAGCAGTCAGACTGTTGATCTAGTTAAACATCAAGATATTAGCAGTCAGACTGTTGATCTAGTTAAACATCGGGGTATTAGCTGTCAAACTGAAAGTCGAAAAACTACTGCGGGGTGCCAAACTGCTACACCAGACAGCACAGATGCGTCAGCACAAGCCGCACCACTATCTAACAGTGTATCTGTTCAAGCTGTATCGGTATGCATCGAAGCCGTTGTTCAATCTGTACCGACGATTATTGCCCCTGCGACAGAGCATGCAGTCGTGTCTAAAACATCTCAAGTTCAAACAACACAGGTTCCAGATCCGACTGTTACCAACGATTTGTACATCCAAGGCGAACCTGGTCTTAAAGAAACTTATGCTAAAACATCAAAAGGTTCTGCTGCATCGACCATCAGCAACGTAGATACAGTGCAATGCAGCCATTTAAACTTACAAATATTACCAGATAGGGGGGCTTCTTCCGCAAACACGGCTGTAAGAGGTCGAACAAAACGGATCACCAATGCGGCTGCTGGTGAAGCACCGTCATTTTCTGGGGTCATGGATTTCAAAAGTGTCGTTAGGCGCAATTTATTGCAGTTTGAAAATCATTCGGCTAAGCTTATACTTCCTGGAAAAGCTCACGGCATACCAAAGAGGATACAATACAGCTGCCCAGTACCGATGATGGGTGTAGCTTTTCTAAACAAAACACGTAAACCAAGATTAGAGTTTATACTGGGAGATGAACCAACAGTTCAGCTAACTAGTTCAGCTGCTTTGCTGGATCCAACGTATTTTATTAAGAATGCAGAAAGTTGCCACCAAGAGGAAGATGGCGTCGTACAAGAAAGTCTTTTGAACGGCAGCGTGAAAGAAATGTTTGACATCGCCAGTCTGGTATACATTGACACCATAGGCGATTTCTGCATGAACCACAGTGTTATGATGGACATGTTCGGATATGATCCCAGAGATTCGCCCTTCTTACCATCAGGATATGAAGCTTCAAATGATCTACCCAAAGACCTGGAATCCGTTTCTGTGCCCTCCATTCGATCAAGGGACATTGTGTTTTTCAAGAACGAGGACGAATCGTTTAAAGAAATCGGACGAGGTAGCTATGGTGTGGTATATCTTGGACGCTTGCTCAAAACATCAAAGAAGGTAGTGGTAAAAGATTTCTTTAATGAAACATTATGTTGGGAATTTGTTGAACATGAAGCCCAGATTGTAGCCCTGCTGCAAGGACAAGACATAACCCCAACATTCCATGGACTCCTAACATCTACAATTAACGAGAATGACTATTCGCTGGTGCAGGACTTTTTCGGATCGGGCAGCATCGAAGCCATCTTGAAACACCATGGTGATTTGTCAGCTGCATCATGGATAACAATTTGCATAAATACCAGCAAAACGCTATTGAAAATCCACAGATGCCATGTTCTCCATAACGATGTAAAAGCTGACAACATCCTGGTGGATCTCGATGGTTTCGATGTTCGTTTCATTGATTTCGGGATGTCCACATTTAGGAAAGGCTTAGAGTTTACTGCCAGCCCCGACTACATGTCTCGGTACCAATTCTTGGCTCCCGAAGTCCGTGAAAACTGCCACTCGACTCCTCAGGCGGACGTCTTCAGCTTGGGTTTTTTATTTGGTCAAATTATGACCCAGGCTAAAGTCGTCCAATTAAGGCCCCTCTGGAAAGCCTGCACCCGCGTCCGAGCTCTGTCCAGACCAAGATTACCAGACATCATAGCTACTTTGGAAGAACTATCTATCAAATTTGCAGCCTAAATTATATTTAAGATATTTAAGTTAAAATATTTGTAAATTTATGTGTTTTAACATTGTCACTAAACCTTTAAATGCAGAAATGAAAATCCAAATTTTGGAGTAAAACAAACCAGTTCTACTAAGGGTTGAAATTGTCCTGATCGTTACTATACGTAAAGAAAAGTATTATTTCTATCTTTCTAAACTGCTGATGTGAAACATATATTATAAACTTGTGCTTTGTATTTATAAATATGTATATTGTATTAGCTGTGGATTAACCAAATAGTATGGTCTATACATTTTGTTTTGGATAATGGCTATCAGGTTGATGGTAATTAGAACAAACACTACTGTATTGTATACTTGTATCGAAAGTTAGGTCAGGAACTATAAACCATTTTAATCTATACTTACATGAATCTAGATAGTTTTTATCCGGTATTGTTAACTAAGCTTATATAATTTTCTATCATTTAAGTAATGTTAGCAGATATAGATATATACTAAGTCAGCTGCGGTAAAAAAAAAATGTTTCTTCACTTTGTCATGTCAAACACCGATGCACACATGGTAGATAATACCAACAGGACCGGCTTTGAGCCAAAAAGATCAACTGCTTGCAGGGCTTTTAAAATAGTTTTGTCAAATAAAACTACCCTCGAACGTATAATAAAGTCACCATTTTTGGTCATTTGTGATAAATCGTTTTACTAAAACAGACCATGGCTGTTTTTCTCCGCAGTCCCATAGGCCAACATCTTCATAAATGATCCCGCAATATATTTCGCCAGTATGAATAAATTATCGGAGTAATTTTGGCTGTGTAGTATTTGACCATTTTGAACAATTCAAGCAAGATTATAAGTCATTTTTGTTTTACTCAACCTTTAAAGATACCTTATGGGAGATTAGATAAAGAGCTGTCAGTTCTTACTATAATAGTTAGAATCTAGATAATGTAAAGGGAATTTGCTGAAAATTTCAGTCAAATTGGTCCACTCTGAACCGAGATTTTAGCGATTGAATTTTCGACCTAGCCTCGATCATCATTACTAAAGTCAGTATGATAAAAAAACATAGTTTCGATTATCCATTTCATGATTAAATTATGAATGGAAGTCGAACAGCAAATCAGAACCTAATCCAATAAACATTGCAGGCTAGCGATGCCATCGAGAGTTGATTATGGTCTGGATAAGTTAATTAATGTCTAATTAATAATTTAGATGACATTTCAGACCTAAAGAAAGACCTACAAATAGGCAGATTTAGCTCTTGCATAATGTATGTTTAAATATGTCAGTAGTGACACTGTTAGAAAAATCAACATTTGACTGATATATTAAAAATTTTATTAAATTGACACCCATGCATGTTGGTAAAAATGAATATCAATCTATGGTAACTATAAAATTATATTAAATTGTTACCCATACTTGTTGGTGAAAATCTATCATGTGGTAACTATAAAATTAGATCAAATTGTTACCCATACTTGTTGGTAAAAATGAATATGTATTCTATTGTACCTAGAAAATTATATTAAATATGACCCATACGTGTTGATAAAAATGAATATGTATTCTATGGTAACTATAAAAAAATACATTAAATATCTCTCATACCTGTTGGAAATATGTTTTCATAGGAACTAGAAAATTAAGATTAATATTCACTAGAACTAGAAACTTATAAACATTGTATTTATATGTATATACTTGTACGTTATATAATATTGTCTTTCTGTAAGAATATTTTGTTTTAAAACATGATATAAAGAAAGCATAAAAAAGGTTGTTTTATATAATTTTATTTATATATAGTATGAGAGCTAAATGTGATAGTACTGTGTATAGTTCGTCTTTTTACAAGACTTTTATTTCTATTTTGATATCACTTAGTATATACATTGTATTATAAAAATACTAGTATTTATTATTCACAGAATAATTTTGATTATATACATTATTGGTTTCTAGTATCACTAAATACAATATTGATTAATTAAAATAATCAACAATGAAAATGGTGGCTTCTTTTGTTTATTTGGAACTGGGAACATATTGGGAAAAGGTCTGACCATCTCTCTGCGAATCGTCTCTGTTCTGTGTAGGAAAAGACCTAACATAAACATAAACCCGACGAACGAAAGGGGTGTACGCCTCCACCATATACAGAGCCAAAAAATAACACCACCGGGTCCGATAAAACAGGAACCCTGAGAAAAGCAGAAGACAACGAATAAGTCCCTATCTAAAATTGACGGGATAGGTTAATATTCACAGAAAAAATCCCGATAAAAGTTTATCCATTTGCAACTGAATTATTCATACAAACACAATGTCTTCTTAGACCCCAATGTGGACAATGAATGACAAGTAACCCAAATCCTCTAATACATACAATGGATTATTTGGTCAAATGATGTAGAACTTATAATCAATATGTTTGGCCCGGCTTGCCTACAGTTTTAGAGGTGTTTCTTTTCAGATTTTCTGTTGAACCTGTTGTGAATGATCCAGAACAAGATTTCATAGCTCCTCGTACAAGACGTACAGGACAAATAATGTGCCAGCTAGATAAACATATGAAGCATAATAATGTTTCACGACCACCAGTATTATCAGCAATAGAAGAGGGTGGAACAGTGAACAGTATAAGGCAGTTATTACACAGATCAGATAGCGATACATCTGACCCCTTTAACGATTCCTCACCAAGGTAAGGTTTTTTTTCTCGCTTCCCATTAAGCCCGTAGCCACGGGGTGGTTAAGCCCCCCCCCCCCCAAAAAAAAATCAAATGAGCCCCCCTCCCCACCCCAAATATTTCGCCGGCAATAATGATTTTTTAGGAGTGTTCAAATTGGTAGGCGACCCATTGGCTCGTAGCATGGTCCACCGAGTTCTGCCAGTCATCATCACCTCCTGATCCCCTTGTCTTGATACCATACGTGCGTTGTACATAACTACTGTGAGACGTGTTGGTCTACTGTCACTGAACGCGTGTACTCGCTCATAACACTCTTGATAGTACCAGAGGCTGCATAATTTATCGCCATTTTCCTGGGACCTGCCCTTTTATACCCGGGTTACGGGTTTAAAAAAGGCCCTGGTTTATTTGTTCGCCTACAAGGCGCCGGTTCAAATGTTTGCATTTGCCTACACCCGATGTAGGGTGCCTACGGGCGCCTAAAGATGATATCGGTGGAATGAGTCGAAGAACGAAATTTCAGAAAATTCAGCCATAAAACCCTGCCTGAGGCACTTCAATTTGAGGCCCAGGAATGCACTCAGATGCAAGGAGAGAGCACCAAATTTTCAAAATTTCGCCACCTCCTCAGCCCCTTCAAAAAATTCCATAGCCCCACCAAATTTTACGAGCCGGCTACGGGTCCGCTTCCCATATCGATGATTAGTGGAGGACCTTAGACGTTCATGTATATGAAGTAGAGGGTAGTGGGCCCTGTCTTAATATGCGGCATTGGTTTGTCATGTTAGCATGATGTCTTCCTCATGCAGGGTCGTCAAATAAGCGTTAGCTATTCATGTGAGGAGCCAGCGTATGGCTAAGAAAGCGCTGACTCACTAGCCTTGAGACCTGGGTTCGATACCGGTGTTGGCTGAGGAAGTTCCTCGGGATTTTTGGGCATGGTTTCTCCTTTTGAGAGTGTTGCGTGACGGAGTGCCTGGCAAGGAAAGGCGTCATGTCGTTCTGATGGGATGAAAACCCGAGGTCCCATGTACACACTGACATACACATAAGGCAACCACTTACGTGGAATTCAATATAAACGTAGGCCACGTCACCGCTGTCCGGGAAAATGTTTGCTTGATAGCACACTGGCACTACATTATCACTCATTCGGGCGGATTTGCTCGTCTAATACCGATTTTCAGTTTGAAACACGTGTTTAGCGTTCATAACTCTTACCGTGTCAATTGATCGAGATTTATTTAATAACTATGTTATTGTCAAACTGTAAGTGAAAGAATGTCTATTCCTGTCCCAGTTTCTAATTATCCGTTTATTATTTCTTACAGATCTTCCAGCACACATTCTCTAGAGGTGAACAGCGAATCTGAAGAACATCCACATAATCAACTTATTCCTGAAATTATTATAGAGGAATACTGATCACAGAGTATACATAATGCTACAATACCTATTTATAAGTGACCGGGTCACTTAGAATATATGCTAGTGATTAATTTCAAAGAGAGGAACCATGTTTATCATATGTGGACATTAGATAATCGCGTACGATAATAATAAAGGAACATTGAAGCTTGATCTCTCTATGGACTATTTATGTGTGATTTTACTGTGGTGTTTATAATAAACTGGTATTGGTGTTTATAATAAACTGGTATTGGTGTTTCTTTGTATAAAATGTGTATAGTATAAAGTGTTCATGAAATTGTATATAAAGACAATATAGGGGATTGTATGTACTGGTAACCCCCAACATGAAATTGAATACACTTACATAATATAGTCTGTTACCTGTTCAAGCTACCATTGTACAAATCGTTGTTGTTTTAATGCGGATACCATAGTTTTAGTGAAGATTTTGGAACACATATTTTGTAGCTATGATTTTTTAAAGAGTGCAATAATAAGTGAATAGTAAATACAGTTATTTTCTGGGAGAACTAAGTACAAGCCTTCAAATTAAAACAATACCTATTTGATACTCAAGGAAAACCGCAACCAATTTCTTTTTTGTATTTTGCCTTATGCTTATAGATACATTATGTAAGATTTAGATAAAGAGCTAGCCATTTATATAATAATTCGAAAATAGATAGTGCAAAATTACTCTATTGTGAACGAAGATATTAGCCTTTGAAAGTTTGACAAGATGTATTTATTAATTGCAACCACCCTACTAATTTTTCGAAGTTATGCCTCGGTCTCTATTTTTAAATTAAATCAAAACATGGCTGAATCGTTCGAGAGTTGATTATGGTCTTGGCATGTTAATAAATGTCTAATTAATAGTTTATATAACATTTCAGGCATAAAGAAAGACCTGCAATAGGCAGATTTAGCTCTTGCATAATGTATGTTTAACATAATAGTTTGGTCAATAGCTTTACAGTCAGTATTCAATGCTAGGGTGGATAATTTTGCATGGAGAAATGGGTTTCCACAGTCTACAATTCATCAAATTCCGACTGTCAAGGTTTCTTTTCGTTGCAAAATGTAAACATGGGTGTTTTTCTTGTCCCAACGAAATTCATTGTATAGGTAACTTCTATTCCTCGAATTACGGCTGCCAAGGTTTCTTTTAATTGCAAAATGTGTACATGGGCCTCTATCCGCAGGCTTTCTGTTAGCCAAAAATTCTATAGAAATGTAAGGTGTGACATCTACATGTGTTATATATGTTCAGTTTATCCATAGTTCTCGGCCAGGATAATTTGAGTTATGGACAAACTAAAAAACTGATGAACTTTATAATTTATATTCAATATTTTGTATCAACAATAAATATAATTTGTTTTAAAATTTTCTTTTTCTATCGGACATATCCCGTCTGTTGTGGTTGGCACGTGAAGATTTGTGTTTGTCTTTATAAGTTCTATTACGATTTACATCATCAGATTGACCTTGACCTTTAGCCTGACCCTCCACATTATATTTACGTTGTGGCTGACCACCTCCTCGTTTTGCAAGTTTAGCAGCACGTCTTTGAGCAGCTGCCTCTCTAAGCTTAGCTGGGTCAGCAACAAACTGGTCTCTTTTTCTAGGTTCAGATTCATCTGATGGTTTCTAACAAAAAAAATAAAAGTTAACAAGACCTAAAGTAGAAATAGACTGAAAATGAATAGGGTTCATCCTCCCATGATCAGAATGCTTCATACCAAATTTGAAAAATATTCTTTACAAGGTGTTCAGCAAAGCTGGGGCAACTCCAGAACGGAAAGTCACAGAACGCTGATACTGATAGGGTTCATCCTCTCATGGAACAAATGGTTACTCCCAAAATTTAAACTATAGCCCCTATCATTTCACAGTATTTTTGGCAAGGGGTGTAAATTCAGAATGAAGGGTCGCAGAATGATGATTATCAATAGGATTTATCCTCTCATGACGTCAATGCTTCCCACTAATTTTGAAAAAGATCTTTTAAACACTATTGTGTTCACAAGGGGTTAACTCGTGCATGAACAATCACATAAAGCTGAATATCTATAGGGTTTGTCTTCGTCCTCTGAAGACAACAATGCTTCATATCGCGTTTACAAGCCAATTGTTGATGCTCTGATGGACGGACATGATTGATGGCATAAAACGCAGACACTGAAATGTGGGCTTATAAAAAATCCAATCTGATGTACTCACACTATCTGAATCTGATTCACTACTCTCTGATTCCTCGTTTCCATCATCTTTACCACGAAATACACAAGGTGTTGTAAATTGTCTGCAATATTTAAAATAAACACTCTATGCTTTCGTTGCAAACTAAAATATTGTGAAATTTGAATCTCAAAATGGTATATCAGTCCGAAAATGGTTGAATGAATTCTGTTCAATATATCTACAAAGTTATATTTCCACATTGGCAACCTTTGCAGCATATCAACAAGCCAGCATCACTTATAAGTGTAAAGTAAAATGTTTTGATGCGCTTCATCTTAATCTGATTGAATCTAAGCCATGAGATTATCTACTGTTTATATTTTGGTTTGGTTTCTTTAATTAATTTAATCTTAATACATTTTACTGTGAATTAAGATATTGTTCAAACAAGCCAACAGTGAGGCTGATGTCCCCCGCCGAAATAGGAAAATAATTAGAGGACACATATAAATTTATCACAAATTATCTTTTACAAAGTATTGAACAATCAAACAGTATATCTTAACTTATAGTCTAACAATCAAAGTAGGAGAGTTATTGTTTTCCAAAGTCTCGACCAATCAAATTGCGTATCGCTCTGCTTACCCTGAGCAGAAAATGCTCATTATCAAACTTAGTCAAGGTATTACTGTAATGAAACTATACACCAAGTTTCATCAATCTCACTTAATTAGAACTAAAGTTATCGTGTCCCAAAGCATCAACCAATCAAATTGCTTATCTCTGCTTACCCTAAGCGGAAAATGCTCATCTTCGAACTCCATCAAGGCATTGACCTAATCAACACATACACCAAGTTTGAACATTCTAGCTCAATTAGGAAGAGAGTTATCGTGCCCCAAAGTATCAACCAATCAAATTGCTTATCTCTGCTTACCCTAAGCGGAAAATGCTCATCTTCGAACTCCATCAAGGCATTGACCTAATAAACACATACACCAAGTTTGAACATTCTAGCTCAATTAAAAGTTATCGTGTCCCAAAGCATCAACCAATCAAATTGCTTATCTCTGCTTACCCTAAGCGGAAAATGCTCATCTTTGAACTCCATCAAGGCATTGACCTAATCAACACATACACCAAGTTTGAACATTCTAGCCCAATTAGGAAGAGAGTTATCGTGTCCCAAAGCATCAACCAATCAAATTGCTTATCTCTGCTTACCCTAAGCGGAAAATGCTCATCTTCGAACTCCATCAAGGCATTGACCTAATAAACACATACACCAAGTTTGAACATTCTAGCTCAATTAGGAAGAGAGTTATTGTGTCCCAAAAAGTGTGACGGACAGACAGACGGACGGACAGACGGACAGACAGACAGACGGACGAACCCATTTTAATAGTCCCCTGCTTTCTTCGAAAGGCGGGGGACAATAAAATCATTTCAGAAAAACAATTTATTATTTTGACATCAATTATAAAGAGGTTTAGTTCCTTTATGTCTTCTGTGAGGCACGGTGGCTAAATGAGCAAAATGCTGGCTCGCTGGCCTGGGCCCGATTCCTAGAAAATTCTTAAGCACGTTCTTGTGCTTAGATTTAAGTAGACTTTGCATTTAAGTAAACTTACCTTATTTTGTGTTCCCAGAAAATTCTTAAGAACGTTCTTATGCTTAGATTTTAAGTAGACTTCATCGTAACCACAAGAACGTTATTATGCGTTCCAAGAAAAAACTTAAGCACAACTTCGTTCTTGAACATGGTCAATCTAAGCACAAGTCCCAAGCACAAGTACCAACCTTAAGTCTGTTTCTGCTTCAAAAAGATGGCTGACCGTAGAGTTATTCGACGGCATTTCCGACACCTTTTGATACCAAAGAGACAATTACAAGACAGAGAAAATCCTTCTCGAGAAGAAATTTCAAATTGAGAATGTTATAGAAAATTTCACTTCTAGGCCTACCCTGAAACCATTTTATTTATTTGCCAATTAGTAAACAATAGGCTACAAACACACAGGCTACTTTAAGATCAGGCACTCTCACAATTATTCAGTTAGTTTGTATGTGTCTGCGTTTTTTATCTCGTGGCACATTTTATATGTGTATAGGGGACATGTCAAATGCATCTAAATCAACCATATATATATATGATGTCAATGAAGCAGACGACAAATTTATGACGTAATTCGCATACCAAAGTTGTTTTTATGACGTTAAAGAGCATCAAAGTCTCAGTTTATGGTAAACTTTACCAGTCACAATGTGCTTAGACTTATACTTGACTTGTGCTTACGTAATAATGGTCTTGAGAATTTTCTAGGGACGATATTTTTATAAGTTTCTTACGTAAGAAAAAGTGAAGCATGACTTTGTGTTTACTTTAAGAATTTTCTAGGAACCGGGCCCAGGAGGTTGTGGGTTCACTCACAGTGTTGGCTTAAGTATCTTTTCAAAGTTGAAATTATAACCTTTGATGACACATCATATCCAAATTACAGGAAAAATGGAGACATTATGGCAAATAAGTTATTTAGATGTTTGAAAGGACGTGAATAATAAATTATAATACAGATGTTTTACATACCGTCTACTTGTTAGTTCATCTGCAGAATCTGCATCATCAGCACCAACATTATTGATATCATATGTATCATCATATTCATCATCATATAATATTTTATCATACATACTATTCTCTACATCAGCTGAACCATATGCATCATATGTAGCTTTAAATTCTTTTATAAACTCTTTATCAGTTAATGCTACTTTCTCCTCCCTGATTTAGAAAAAAAAATAGAAGTTGCAAAAAATTTAAAAAATAAACATCACTTTGATTCATATAATATTATAAATTTAGGTGATACTCAAGTGGAATGTTTGGAATTTAACTGATGGGTTTAATGTCCTACTTTTCGGCTTCATCTGAGCTAATGAAAACGCACATACACCATGCAGTGTGCTTTGATTGAAATTTTGCCTGGACAACAGCGCTATATTGTATACTTATTCTGAATTCCAACTGTTAAGTGTTCTGTCAATGTTTAGGCTAAACAGGACCTCAGTTTTTCCAATTATCTAGATGGTGTTCCTTTGCAGGCTCTCTGTCCTGCACCACTAACAAGGGTAAACAATAATGGGTTCAAACATGGGATCACCAGGCTTCCGAGCCAGCATCTTACTCACTAAGCCACTGTGGCTCACAGTTACAATCAAGTAAATAGTAAAATATCTGGTGACAAAGCATGCTCCATCTCAATAAGTTCATATAATATATCCACCCGTTCTTGGGAGTGACTCACTGGAATTCTGTCAAGAACTAATCAAATATTCCCATAGATATTTTGTTAGTTATAATAATAACAATACTTACTTTTTGCCTTTATGAATACGTGACATATCAATATCATCTCTTCTAAAAACATCAAACTCATCTCCATCATATATATTACGTCTGGTTTCTACTAGTAGTTCAGGTTTAGATGGTGGTGGCTGTCTATGAAAAAAAAAATCCTAAAATTATGAGAGAAATTTTTGACAATCTGACTTCCATTGATCCTGTTCAGATTCTCCTTCAACAACATACAACAACCTGAAAACAAATCCAACAGATACAAAATTTTATCACTTTGATTGACATTGAAACAGGTACTGGGCTGTGGGCCACTTTCACCAAGCATAGATAAGACATACAACTGAACTGACTATTTTATTATATAACTCTCCTTAATTTCCATACACTCAAAATTACGTTAACATTTATCTCAGATGAAACACAATATTTTTTGAAAGAATATGATGATTTTCAGCACAACTTGATTTTTAAAACTACTTTCTGTTCGTGTATTCACACAAATCTAAGGTTATATTGTTTGAAACACCTAATTTAACGAGATGGCAGTTCTTGCTATAATAGTTAAAAACTAGATAGTGTAAAGGTAATTTGCTGAAAATTTCAGTCAAATTGATCCACTATGAGCTGAGAAAGAAGCGGGTGAAATTTTGGCATAGTCTCGGTCATCATTACTAAAATCATTAATATAAAAAGCTTAGTCTCGATTATCCACTTTTATTGATTTAATTAGGAATCTAATCCAGCCAACATCGAAGGCTAGCCTTGACATCGAGAGTTTATTATGGTCTGGATAAGTTAATTAATGTCTAATTGATAATTTAGATAACATTTCAGGCCTAAAGAAAGACTTGTAATAAGCAGATTTTGCTCTTGCATAATGCATGTTTAATGGTAGGCTATGGAAATTAACTGACAGCTAAATTCTTGAAAATGTTTTTAGTCTAAATATAACATCAAATCACCCAGTTTGTACATGGGAAGGCATCATTAACAAAAGAAGAGATAGGTTTAATATAAGCTATGCCTGTTCCATAATCCCTATTCAGATACAGAGAGAGAGAGAGAGTTTAATGTTCACTCACACAAACTAGGTCATTTCGGTACTAACACATGGTTCAAATTTATTTCAATAATTTGCTTGTGCATAGGGGTCTTGAGCAGTGGGAGGAAACTGGAGGACACAGAGAAACCCCACAAGGTTGGACAGGCGGCCCTACTCCTTGTCATGTACAACTGGGGAATCGAAACCACACTAGCTGACTCAATGACAGACCTTATGATACAGTGTCATGTCCTAACCATTCGGCCATCCAACAAAATAAAGACTTTGTTTGAACTTGCCTTTGAAATTCATTAGAAACTGAATATAAATCTAAAATGAAATTATTATTTACCTTTCATGTTTAAATTCATCATATAAAATATGAAGGTATGGCTGTCAAATTAAAATCGCTAATAGATAGACAAATCTTCTATTTCAAGATTTAAACAGTTGGCTAATACCTACCTTGGTAAAGTTGTATCTAGATCTTGTAAAGATGGCGGTACTTTATCTTCTAAAATACAGTTAATTACTCTTTCTACACTATAATTCAATTCTTCTAATGCTAACTATAATAATAACAATATAACAAAAATAACAAATGAAAAAAAAATAAAAATAAATAAATGAAAAATAATTAATATAATAAATGACAATAATATTATGTATTATATGTATGAAAATTTAAAAAGTCTTTTCATTTTAACTTAGTACACAATTTGCCGCTGACCATTTGTTTAATTCTTGCTATGTCTATGTTTTCTGTCTTGTCTGCATGTTCATCTTGTAGATTTTGTTTTGTGTGTAGTGCTGTCCTCCTGCACTTACTATTGAGTATACAATACATCTAGTTAAACATTTGCTATCAATTAAGTTCTAATATATTAAAGATTAATAAGAAAAAATATACAGGGAAACAACATATATATCTCAAAAATCAGAACACAAGATGGTATACCTTATAAATATTCTCATATATCAATCCATGTTTGAAAAAGAGCAAAGAAAACATAAATGGCGATGTAAAATATTATTTGGAGACAAATTATATTGTGACTTATGAATTTAAAGAGTGTCTGAACTCCAGTAAAGATTACTGCTAAGCGATGCTATTACATTTTATAAAATAAAAGATTCACAAATAAATTACAATAAAAAGTTTTTAACTAAATTAAAGATAGGTTGCCAGGAAACGAAATATGCGTTCATAGTGCGGACTGTCGTGTGGACAGTCAACAAGGGTTGTCACATATTGTTCTCTAGTCGGTAATGAAAGATTTACAAATACACTAAAATCTGATTAAGAGTAACAACTCATTAAGTAATTCTCAGAAACCAGTAGAATTTGTTTGGCATCTAGTTCTGCCCCGTGCTAACGTTTATTATACATAACATTTAATATCATAGATTTAGCTGTTTAAATTATCAAAAATCATTGAAAATCAATACGATTCTTCTTCTTTTCATAACCTTAAATACCATGTATAAAATCAAAGTCAATCGAATGATACCTTTGGCCTGTAGAGCATCCACATGATTTTTAGAGATAATCAAGGGCCATAACTCTGGCAGTAATTATCAGAAATCTTTGAAAAAAAACAGGCTTCTTTGTCGCAGGACCTTAACCCTTGTCAGTGCACATGGGGTCTCCGTGGACCCCATGCACATGTTTTATAGTGTTTTGTAATAACTACTGGGCACTGCTTTCTGAAATTTAGTGACTTTATCTCCTATACATTTTTAAACGTAGCGAAAGGTTCGGTATTCATCTGCTTCCCACATGCAGAGTTCTGTTACATGCAAATCAGGCCCAACGCTTGAAGGGAATTGGACCCCTAACTTATAACTCACAGTAGGGATTTTGCTAATGTGTTTGCTGCCTGATACCATATTGCGTACGCCAGAGTATTCTCTCTTTTAACACCTGCATGTTACAAATACCAAAAATTAAATGATGAATTCCAAATATTGAATGGTTTTTGTATCACGCGTGAATAGCCATTTAACTTCTTTATCACATAGTACAAAAAGTAGCAATTTTTGTGAGAATTATTAAATCTTTTCCAAATGTCACTAAAATGTTTTTGTATAATAATTTAGTTGTTTTTCAGTTGTCAAATATGAATGCAAATAAAAACTAAACTGCTGCCTTTTAATTCAGATATATCTGTACGTAAAATTTTTGAATTATAACTGGGGTCCATATGGACCCCTTGATACCTGATATGTGATTCTCACAACGTGAACCGACAAGGGTTAAACATCATGTATCAATTTAAAGTCAATCGGATATTAACTTTAGTCACTAGAGCGTCCACAAGCAATTGTGGACACCAAACCGACGAACTGGGGCGGCAACAATATGATATGCAACCACATTTCAATGTTGGCGTATAAAAACAATAAAATAATATGCTGTATACAAACATTTTTTAAACATGCTATTTAAGTCTTTTTATATTTTTATTGTTTTATATACCAGTATTTACAAAATAATTATTTAAAAAACATCTTACTAGTAGAGTTTTGCTATAAATAACATACTGAGAATATATCATTCAGTGAAAGACAAGATAAATATTTTAAAGCATAATGTAAAACCAGCAGGTCTCTGAAACCTAATGGGACAGAATAGTAGTTTAAATTAGTGTTAGCCTTAGACAGATAAGAACATATTTAAGCTGCATACCTCTATAAAGCCTTCACCTAAATCAGGTAATAAATCTTTTACAGCTGATATCATTGACTCAAATTCCACAGGGGATACATTTGGTGCACCAGGTACTTGTTCATCCTGTTGAAGAAAGCCAACAGTGAGGCTGATGTCCCCCGCTGATATCCCAAAATAAATAGATGACACGTAGTCATCAATTGCACATTTATCTTTCTGATAAGTATTGAGCAATCAAACTGATTATCTAATCTTAGTATAAGTTCACAATTGAACTCAGTCAAGGTTTTGAAGTACCCAGTATTGAAACTATACACTAAGTTTCATCACTCTCCATCAGTTAGAATCAAAGTTATCTTGTCCCAAAGCATCAACCAATGATATGGCTTAGCTCTGCTTAGCTTTAGAAGAAAATGTTAATCACTGAACTCAGTCAAGACATTCACTCAATGAACATCTACACCAAGGTTACAAATTATACTGCAATTAAAAGCAGATTTATAAACTATAAACATACTTATGGAAAACAGCTACTGATTTATTTAGGTGACGTTTCGAAGAGTATTCTCTCAACGTTTTCTATACTTGAATCTATACTTTGAGTTTCATCATGTTTAAACATTCTACCTCTATTAGAAGGAGAGTCATTGGGTTTCAAATTCTCGATCTATCAAATTGTTTATCTCTCTGATTACCCTGAGTAGAAAATGCTCATTCTCGAACTTAGTCAAGGTATTGATATAATAAAACTATACACCAAGTTTCATCACTCTCACTTAATTAAAACTAAAGTTATCGTGTACCAAAGCATCAACCAATCAAATTGCTTATTTCTGCTTACCCAAAGCAGAAAATGCTCACCTTTAAACTCCATCAAGGCTTTGACCTAATAAACACCTACACCAAGTGTGAACATTCTAGCACAATTAGAAGGAGAGTTATTGTGTTCCAAAATGTGTGAGGGACAGACAGACAGATGGACAGACAGATTTTAATAGTCCTGTGCTTTCTTCGAAAGGCAGAGGACAATAAATTAGCCAGTGAAATGTTTCGTTCAAAAGTAATAAAGAATAAGAACGTACAAAGTCATTTTTCAGCTATGAACCCCTAATGTATAAGAAGTGGTACCATGTGTTCCAGATTACAGAAGCATGCCCTACTTTGTTCATGACACATCAATAAAAAAAAAGTTACCTAAAGAACACCAGCAAGATAGTGCTGTGTAACCAAAATGGTGAAGGCTTTTAATAGTTTTCAGTATAAGTGATTATTATAATATGTCGTTAAAAATCAGTATTTCTACCGATTAAAAGTTTTAAAAATATGCTAAAAACTAAATACTACTGTTGTGAAGTTCCCCTTCTCAAAAAAATAATATCCATCTTCATTAGCCCAGTCGGAGCAGAACAGTAGGACGTTAAACCCCATTTCATTTCATTTAATTCCTCAAATAATAATACATAATTTAAACATTTCAAATAAGAGAAAATTGTCATAATATGTCTTCAAACTTACATAATCTTCAACTTGAAAAGCTTCATTGGTGTAATTAGCTGTTTCTGATTCTTCCCCAACTCCTGCACCACCCCAGCTAGCAGAAGCACCACCACCACAAGCTCCTCCTACAGCTCCTTGGTCATCAGGAGGTCCGGGTGATCCATCAGGACTAGTTCGACCACCAGTAGTTGTTGCACCAGATGGTTTCTTTCTCTTTCCATACGTAGCAAAAGCTGTATTAACAGCATTTCTAATATACTGCAGCTGTTCGTCATCTCTATTTTAACTAGGCTAAGGACTAATAATTCAGTCATCAATATTCAATTAATTTATAAAAAGATTAATATTCATTTCTTTTTTGGGGGTGGGGGGATAAATTAAAGTGCAGTTACAACTCTTATGGGTATAGATTGGGGTTTCTGTTTCAAAATTTTTGTGGGTGTAACAGAGGCCAGAACTGGGTCACTATAAGTGGTCAGCTTCAGGAATTAAGGTCAAAAGATTTCTTGACATAAATTTGTTATGTTGCATTTTGTATTCTGAATAATATTATTAACACAATAAAGCCCCAAAGTACACTGGCTCAATATTTTCCATATTTAATTCATGTACCAGTTTCAAGACCATATAAACAATATTCATTGAATACCATAATTACATGTCTAAACATTGTTTATCTTCTTTATAAAAGGGTATTTCAAAATTACAGTTACAGCTTAATCACTCAGCAAAAGGCATCAGGGACTCCACATATTATCAGGTGTTTTTGTTATTCATGTCCATGAAGCCTGTGCAATATTCACTCCAAATTTAACCCTAGTAATTACTACACCATGCAATACCTTATATGGCATGGAACCGTATAAAGCATTGTTGACTGCCACATATTATCAGGTCTAGTTGTTTATTGACTAAAGTTGTTCCTTATGGACTGCTTTTTATTAATAGATAATAACTAGGGAGCTCATTCGTATCAATATATTTTTCGTATGCATAGCATATTTTGTCACAAAGTGACATGAAAAAAAAATGATTAAAATATTGAGCGATAATGAATACCCTGAGTATTTTGTTTTCCTGTTTAAAAAAGGATACACAGTACATTCTGATTGACTAAATATATCCATTATATCTTGAAAACTATAATTACTTTCATAGTCAGCTAAAAACCTGAAATAACAGATAAAAACATCAGCCATTAATCATCAGAGACAAACTTAATAAACATGCATTATAATTTACATTATTGTTCCCTCACTCGAATAATAGCCACAAATTGCCTAATAAGTCCACAATAAATTAAACAAGTTGGTTATTACAGAATGTCAACCATTGCGGCAGAAGTTTTAGCACCCACTATATCATATTATACAGTTACATCACCTGAACATCCCTGGAAAATTCAGCTGTAGTTTTTAACTTGTGCTATTTTGATCAAATAAAAATTTATAGATTTTTTTCCCAAAAAGGGATAAATATTATCGAATACATAAGAAAGGTAGGTATTAATGTGGGTACAAAATGACACATTTACAGAATTCATATCACAAATTTTCTTTCCAATAGTGAGTTTCAGCTGTGGCCATATTTACCGATGTGAGTATCAATGTTAGCTTCAGAGAAAATTATTTACTTGATATCAGAACTAATGAACACTGTGATTTTATTAAGAGGTCACTCCTATTAAGAGGCGACGTGGTTTCCCCTTGTCAGTGGTGCAGAACGGAGGGACTGACAAGGACAGCTGTCTAGTCCTTCGGATGATACGGAAAACCAAGGTCCCGTGTGTATATTGGAATGCACGTAAAAGATCCCCTAGTCCTTCGGATGATACGAAAAACCGAGGTCCCGTGTATATATTGGAATGCACGTAAAAGATCCCCTGGCAGTTGGAATTCGATATAAGAGTAGGCGATAGTGCCGCTGCCCGGGCAAAATTTCACTCATAGCACACTGTATGGTGTATGCCCGTCTTCATTAGCCCAGTATAGGATCAGAACAGTAGGACGTTAAACCCCATTTTATTTCATTTCACTTCCTATTTAGAGGTTGAGTCATGAAAATTGCCTTAATGGCTGCTGAATGATTCTATTGTAGTGCTAATTGAAGATATAATGTTTTTGGTATAAAATCTTTTTTTCCTATTTGTTTTCTAATCAATAGTTATGTATTCAGGATTGTGATTGCCACTTATTATTAAGTCCCATTTGAGTGCATTGCATCATGTTTAATATAAGTGACAAACATTATACCTTCTTTCTCCAAGAATAGCTGACATTGTATGTAGAAAATCTTCAACACAAGATTCCATTTCATCTTCACTTCTAGAATAAAGCAATTAATTCATGAATAAAAATCTGAAAATCCATGACTTTAGAAGCATGTCAAAAGTGAGGCTGATGTCCCCCACTGAAATTCCAAAATAAAAAGATGACACATTAATTAATTGAACATTTGTCTTTATATTAAACTGCTTATCTATACCTATTTAAGCAGAAAATGTTCACAACCTAACTCAGTCAAGGTTTTAAAGTACCTGGTAGTAAACTTGTTTATCGTTCTGATTACCCTAAGTAGGAAATGCTCATTATCGAACTTAGTTAATGTATTGATGTAATGAAACTATACACCAAGTTTTACCATTCTCACTTAATTAGAACCAAAGATATCGTGTCTCAAAGCATCAAATAATCAAATTGCTTATCTGTGCTTAGACTAGGCAGAAAATGCTCATCTAAGAACTCACGCCAAGTTTGAACATTAGAGCTTATTATAGGAGAGTTATCATGTCCCAAAGGGTGTGACAGACAGACAGACCCATTTTAATAGTCTCTGCTTTCCTCGAGAAGTGGGGAACAATAAACATATAATGTCAGTTTATAGAAATCAGGATGTTCTGGGATGACAATCAATCACTGTCTAGTTGTTGTGGTAAAGAGAAATAACTCATATAAACGTTAATGCTTGTCTGTTTACCTGTTTTCTAATATAGGTTGTATACAGGTATGAGATATAATATTATTAAATATCTTCTGTAAAGAAATCTTTCCTTGATGTAACTTCTGCTTCATCAGATGTAGATGACTGAAAAAAAAAATACAATATTTACTGCCTATTTATATATTACTGCCTTTCGTGTAATTTTAAACCTTGTTGAAATTAATTTATAGATGCAGTTTTTATAATTCTCATTTCAATCGAGCCAACTGTGAAATTTATGTCTCTCTACCTTAATCACATAATACCTTAATTACTTGCACATTTATCTTTTAATAAATCATTAAATTACTTATCACTCTGCTTAACTCAAGCAGAAAATGCTCACTATCGAAAGTAGTCAAGGGATGTGAATCAGAGTCATCCAAATCATTAACAAATTGGTGATCTCTCCTTAGCCCAAACATGACCATCATTAACCTCTGTCAAGACAGTCACCAGATGAACATCTACACTCAGTTTGAACATTCTACCTCAATTAAAAGTGGCATTGTGTTCCAAAGGTACAAAACCATTCTAATGATCCCCTTTGTTTTCAGAAAGGTGGGGGAACAACTAGTTAAACAATATGAAAGTTTGTTGAATACCTGATACTGTCAAAGGTTCTTAACTTTACAGTCTGAACTAATTCTGGAATAACCAATTCATAGAATGTTGCCAATCTGAAAAATAGCATAAAAATCATTAAAACATTTCTATTGTTTCTTTTCTATATTCAGTACTAGGTTTTTCTCTGTTTTATAGAAATAAGGTCATATGCTCTACTTTGTATTTAATACACTTACATGTAATAAATAATTTAGATAACATTTCAGGCCTAAAGAAAGACCTGCAATAGGCATGACTAGTAATAGAATATGTTTGAGAAATATTGGTCTTTTTTGTATCTTTTTTGTTCTCATTTGGAGGGAAGTCTGTATGATTACAAGCCCAGGACTGTAGAGCGCAGTGGACGCCTTTGGCTTACGTTTGTTCATTATTGCTTGCATTGTCTGTGTATATTGTGAGTCTTATCAACCAAGCCTGCTTGTCTTTATCAGTTTTCTTTATTTGTGCAGTCCACTTAATATTTTGTGTCAAAAAATGATTGACATGTATTTCATGTATTAGCCATATAAAATAATTACCTTTGTTCAAAATGAAATTCATGCAGTATCTGACATCCTTTAGGGTAAATTTCTAAAAAACTTGACAATGTAATTCCTATATCAGCAATATAAAATAATACATCCTGAAAATCACTTGTAGAAATAGTTAAAAGAGTTTCACTAGAATGTACATTTCCTAGTTTCTTTGGTTCTGTGGCACTGTAATCTGTTTCCAGTTGACACTTGGCAACAACATTATCAAAAACCTACAACAAGCAAGGTAAGTATAGATTGTAAAGACAAATACTGTTAAAGCATGAATCTCTAGTAAATAACAAACTAACACATCCAAAAAGCATAAAAAAAAATCAACACAGACTGTTTAGATTACAGGCTAATGATGAATAAATAAACCAGGGTTTAACATCCTACTTTTTTGCACCAACCGGGCTACTGAAGACAGGCATATGACATACAGTGTACCATAAAGAGAAATTTGCCGGACAGCAATTGAATTTCAATGGTACATAGGATCTTGGTTTTTCATCCTATCTGAATAACTAGACACAGTTCCTTGCCAGGCCCCCTGTAATGCACCCCTGAAAATTAGAAGCCACGTTTGAAAATACAAGTGAACTTTCTTGACCAGCACCAGGAATGAACCAGAGACCCCCTTGTTAGTAATATGATAGTGACATAGAATGATAACTGGTTGTTACAACAGTTCAAGATAATTTCAATATGCACCTCATTACACACCTTTAATGCTGCATTCATTTATTGTAGTTAATTGCTTGGTCAGAAACTTAAGGCAACACAGCGTGGGTATTCCACATTATCTGAATATGATATTTGCATAGAAATATATAAATAGACATGCTTATGAAGATAAAACAATATGTTTCTTGAATACCGCACCCATTTACGTCAAAATATTCGTTAAATACTAGTAATATAAGATTAAGAACCTGTTCAGAATGATAGTGTATACCTACATGAAGAATAGTTGGTATAGTAGCTCGTAGATCTTCTTCATATTTAGGTTGCTGTGTAAATATATTCGACACCATCTTGGATAATAGTTGAGAATTTCCTTTTCCATACAAAACACACAGATCAAAGATTTTAGGAATATCAAACAAAAAATTCTCATATAAAATTTCGCCAAAAACCTTTGGTGTTATAAATTTATCCTGAAAATAAAAAAAAAAAATTACACGATTTTGAAATTTCATTACGAAAATTAGTTTTGACCGCTCCAGTGCAAATTGTGTCTGCTTTGTACATGGTAACTTGCTGTACAAGTGTTTGTATATACAGGTCACACAATGATTAATAGGAAATATTGTCTCAATCAACCAGTGAACAATGCATTCCACAATCTTGCAATGTAAGGTAGAGGTTACTATTTTTGAACTAACATACGATACAGCTATATTGAAATTTTTCATTTTATCTTATTAGCATTGAGAGAAAACCCTGTGAGAGCCCATGAGGTAGACAGGAGACCCTATTCGTGGTCACATACATCTACGGAATCGAAATAACAACTACTTGACTTAGATAACTTGGCTACTCCCACAACCTATTTCGAATCTAATTTGAGCAAGTGACTGACAGAGCGAGAGAGAGAAATGGGGATTAACGTCCACTCGACACAGAATAGGTCATTTCGGGACGAACATATGGTTTAATCTTATTTCAATAATTCACTTGTGCGTTGCGGTCTTTAGCAGTGGGAGGAAACCGGAGGACCTGGAGAAAACCCATGAGGTTGGACAGGCAACCCTACTCCTTGTCACATACAACCGGGGATTCAAAACCACGCCAGTTGACTCAATGACAGGCCTTATGATACAGCGCGCATGTGCTAACCATTCGGCCATCCAACCCCCTAGTGACCGACAGGATAGTTCAACCTTTGAACTTCAAAAGTCATGTGGATAGACCTTATGATCTAAATCACATGCATTAGAACACTCCACCAATCCAACCCATAGGAAATGGAAAAGAGTTTGACAACATTTCTGGTAAATGAAGTTGATTCTGTACTTTATAATTTTCAACGTTCGTCATTTGTTATGTGATCAGAAATAGCACAGGACTCAACTTCCATAGCTGAATTAAAAAAAAATAAAATCGGTGTTATTTATTACAGGTTTCCTCGAGGATTGAGTTTAATTTACCTTAGATTCTTTATGAGTTGCCATTCGTAATGATGTCATAAATACCAAACGATGTACCTCCTTCTGTTTCTCTCTACCTGCTTCTGGTAAATCATAAATAACATCATATGATCTGAAAAATAATAACGAAATACTTCAATATAATGAATATTAGATAAATAAAAAAACAAAAATATGAATGGTGCATTGACAAGATTCTATGATACAGTAATAAAGTGTTAATGGAAATAGTTTAACTCCAAGAGGCCTCTTTGTGTTACTAATCAAAACAATGCATACAACTAGGATGATTGCTTTTGCCATTATAGTGTGCACAAGATTTTACAAAGTGATCAACAGCAATTATAAAACTATATTCACTATTCTTGAATATGTCATCAAAATAGAATCTTTTTTCTTACATTTTCGCAGAAAGAACATATTTAAGTTTTTGTATTTTTTTCATGTTATTTTCCGAGAATACTACTTTAGGTTTCAGTTCAATTAACCAATCACAAAAATACATTTTGAAAGCAAAACTGGTTGAATAAATATTACTCAAGTTAGTCCTATTTTAAATCAATTAATATCATGGGTCATTTTTTTTTTCAACCATTGGGACAGTAATAGCATGGGCCTTATAATATGTAATAGACAGTGATTACACTTCTGGCACTCTTTACAAGATTGCCATTGAGTTTAATATCACTGCTCCAACTTAATTATTGATGGAAGTCTGAAAAATCGTAAAATACTACGAACGATTCAACTCATATAACATATACCCCAAATCAACTTACTATACCCGATAAAAATATGGTACATTAATTTACCTTGGTGCAAATCTCAAATATGAATCTAGAAGAGCATGAAGTTTCTCATCAAAGACAACCTGCAAAATAGTTAATAAAATAAAGTGATCCATTTCAAACTTTAGAGACTAAGGCCACAGGATACTTGATTGAACATTCTGGAACTCAATTATCTTCATCCCGAACTAGTCACAATTGAGTGAAAAGTGGGGATTTCGGGCTACAACAGAGCATTCCATAGAAACATAACAACAGTTTTTACTGTCACCAATAAATTTACTAGATATAAATTCTCCACCATATACCCTACCTGACACCAAAATTTATCATGAGGTTGTTGAAGTAGCCAATGAAGATCTTCTGCTATAAATTGTAATCGTTCAATCCATTCTTCAAATTCAGCCTTGTCCTGAGTATCTACAGGTGGAGCTTTGTAGGGGACAAAATACTTCTTCTCCATTCTGTTTGGGTGCTGAAAAAAAAATATGTTGTAATGTAATGTACTTGAAAACTTTTTTTTAGAGTAAATTGTTAAAGCTGTTATTTGGATAATTTAATTTAGAATAGCACATATTGCCTCTAGTGAGGTAAGCAAGGGCTAATTTTCTCAATGAAATGTTCATTTACATTGTACAGGGCACAGCCGGTCACAGGGACTGACACACAACCATTTAGCCGTATAACAAACTCCCAAGTAAAATGTCTCTGAAGGTACAGGTTGAGTGTGTAACTTTGTAAGGACAGAACAGATTGATAGTCGACAGGCTGCCACAGGACTGCCTACAATATTAGGTTGTGAATACCGCACAGAAGCTATGGTCTACCTTATTACCAGTTCCTTTAGGAACGGTCTCTGATCGAACATGTTCGCTGGGTGTTCCTATCCATCCCTTATACATGTAGCTGCAATATGAAAATACCTCTCTTCCCCACCTCTATTCTAAACCTTATGGCTATTTTGGAATCCCCACCTTCTATTTTTCACTGCCACACTTAACATAAATTTATAATATAGAGCAAAGCTCTAAAGCATTGCACGATGTGCAGTGCTCAAGCAAAGCTCTTTTCCGGTAACATAGGAGCGTAACTAAAACTGTCACCCACAGACTGTTGATATTCAGACCAGAACCGGATAGGCCTACACTGGGCATGCCAACTTAAAAATCTCGCCCGGTCTCATAGAAACATTTCTATGATGTGTCTAATCAATGATATCACATATTTTGGATGTCAATGAAAATAATTCTCACACTCTTTTGTTCTTTTTTTTTTTTAATTTTTTTTAAAACAAAATTAACCATACAATTTAGATCTAAATTAAAATCAATTCGGAAAAACGAAATCATTTAACATTATATGTATCACTTGAGAAACTTAATGTCTATTAAGAAGGTTTATAACAATCACATCAGCTTCACTCTACTCGGGCAATGCCTGATACATATTATTTCAACACTACTTTCAAGTAGAATTTTGCCTTTTTCTTGGGACGGATAAGAGCGGTCAGCGGACAGCGTCCGATCAGAGACCGTTCCTAAGGAAACTAAATTATTACCAGTGCAGGATTGGAACATTCTTTTCCCTTTTCATTGTCTGTGATTTGTTGCTGATCAAGTGGCACCGACATCAGTCAAGAAAATACGTAAAAGATATTTACAAAACTTATTTCTATCTAGCCTTTAGTAATATGGCCTTCACCTTTAACTTCAAGGGACCAATCATTATGTTATCAATTTCATAATCAGAATTTTACTGTAGGATCCAACCAAGCTCTAATATATAACATTTCATTTACCTTTATTTTGAAGAAATATGTTATCTGAATCCATATAAAGATGTATTTATCCATGTAGCAGAACAATTTATGTAAAGAAAATATATAATATTTAATTCTCCCTGAAAAATGGCAGCCCACATGAGTAAAGAAGAGTATCTAAAGCGTTATTTATCCGGAGACGATGCATCCAGTACTAAAATTAAGAAAAAAAGGAAGAAGAAAAAGCCAGAAAATGAGAAGATAGTTCCAAGGTATTCTCCCAATCCATAACACTGAAAATTAAAAATGATACAAAGTTTTAAAAAAAATGATACAAACAGCAGCACTACGTTAGTACGTAGTACGTTAGTACTAACGTAATACGTACGTGACTGCCACCGCCGAATAATAATGATAACTTTATTTGTCACAACGTTAACACAGAGAAGACTAGCTGCAATTTTGTAATTGTCTTGTCCGCTGCTACAATCATGGACCTTATAATAGTTAATACAATCGGTAAATGTACACTCTTGGCATTCTTGGCCTTGCGCAAGTAAAAGTAGCATCAAAATCAAATTCAAAATTCTCAACACATGCATGTATCATCACACAGTTTGCAAGGAAATAAGTAATACGGTTACAAGACTAATAATAGAGAGTGTAACTCTGAAATAGTTAGGACCGCACAGTTTCCCTACATTTTCAAAGTGACATTTAATCACGTGCGTGTTCTAATTCTGGTCTGGTGGCTATTTTAAAAACAACAGAAATATCATGCAGCCAATGGATTTCATCAAATCATATAATTATGCGGTATGATTTCACCTTTATTTTAATGGTAATATGTTTTATTGTTTATTTATTATATGTTAAGCAATGTGCAGCACAGTCTGGGGTCAGTTTAATTGGAAATTATAGTTATATAGGCCAGTAACTTTCTTGTCATCAAATGACGACAAAATTTGCTCAAAGGAAGTCCTTATACTTATAGAATGATTTTCACTACTAGCAAGACGGAAAACATCAGTAGTGGAACCAATTCTAAGAGTAGCCTACACATGTAACACAGTTATAAGGAATACAAGTTACTATATGGCTTACACTGTTGCATACTGGTAAATGTTATTTCTTGTATTTTCCTACTTTTAGGTCGAGAATTGTGGATGATGATGTTGATTTTCACTCATTACTACCAGAAAATATTGAAAATACTTTAGAAGAGGATGTAGGAGATAATGATCCGACTGTAGCCGAGTTTATTGATGAAAGACCTGAACATGTCAAGAGACTTGAAGATTATCGAAAGGATGACAGATGGAAAATCATGGGAGATTCTGATGGTTTGTAAAAATAATAAAATAGTAAATGCATCAAACCCTTGATCATGATGTTTTTTTTATATGCCCTCATTGGAATGTGGTTGTGTATTGTTGTCGCCCCCATACGTCAGTTTGTCTGTCATGTCCGACGCCAACAAGCACAATCTGATTAAAATACAGATCTATATTTCGTTTCGTTTTTTATACTTTCGATGGCCTACACTACATGAAGATCTGACAAGTTATAGCGATAGGTCACGTCAGGGGTCAAAAGACCAACTTATGATCCTATGACGTCAGACATTTGATTTATCAATCAGCATTGATGTTACTAGTGGATTACCCACAGTTCTGTGAAAAACATGCCTAAAGCTCGCCGTAACAGACCGTTTTATTGGCTTATCCCTGACACCATTCAGAACACGAGTTAAATGACAACTCTTCCAGATCCAAGTGTAGTAAAGACAAGTAAAACGAAATTTTGAACTATAAAAACGAAACAAAATAGGATCTGTGTTTTAATCAGATTGCCAACAAGCAAGGCTAAAGTTAATATTCCTCTTTATAACAAAAGTTGTCCGTTGTCCTTTTGTATTTGATGTTTGAAATTCTTAGAATGTAACTGTCGCCCTATGATGTCAACTGCTAAAAAATAATACTATTAGTAGCACTCGTAGTGGTACGGCAAAGTCATCGGACCTTGTTCTGACTTTTTCTATTGTTAATCCAATCCCATCCAAACGATGGGAAACAGAGTATTGTCTTGTAGATATTGAATTAAAAAATGGTTCACATGAACCAAGTTAACCAGGTAATCAAATAACTATTGCCTTAGATACAGTAGAATCTGTATGAGCAGCCACTCCTATTCAACAACATCCCCTTGTAAGCGGTCACGATAAATTCCCCCCGTAAAAATTCTGTTGTTTCATCTCTTTATTCAACGGTCACTCCTCTAATGTGGCCAGCGGTCACTATTTTACTAATAAATTCAACAAAACATCGCCTATTCAACGGCCATTGTTGAATGATACCATCTTGTTGTTCTTTGTAACACCCCCGCTAATCCTTTGAGTAGTAGTTAATTAACTGGACCCCCACTGAAATGTAAAAATAACAATCAACCCGAGATTATCTGTTAATTAATCTTTTGTTTTATTAAAAGACTAACCTGATCATTGTTTTGAAGCGTAACGACCCATTATTTGATACTGATTGAATAAAATAAAAGTACAGAGTTTTGTCACGATCATCTAGTATCTCTTTTCCATTGCCACTTTGTTGTTAAACAGATGTTTTAGTGCCTCCTATAATATTACATACAGTGTTACACCCCCTGTAAATAGGTGATAAAATCAGCGATGGTTTTTTGTTCATGTGCTTTTTTGATAAAATAAAATTAATTCATCAATTTTCTACACAAAAATGGATAAATATTATCGAATGCATCAGAATGGTAGACAGTAGTATCGAAGGTTGTTACAAAATGAAAAGTTTACAGAAGTTATGTCCGAGATTTGAGTAAAGAATTTTCGTTTGGCGCAAGATTCAGCAACGGTCAAATTTACCGATGCAAGTATTGATGTTCGCTTCCAATGCATCAAAGCGTAATATTTAATTTATGTCGGCACAAAAAGCACCAAGATTTTATTAAGAGGCCACTCCTGTTAAGCGGTCAGTTGTGAAAATTCCCTTGGGTGGCTGCTTAATGCAGATTCTACTGTAGTTTAAATTTTCATTAAAGAAATTGTACATTTCTATGAAAGGTTTCTTTTGTGCGAGTAAGGCCTTTTAAGACAAATATAGCTTGCACAAGAGTAATGACTCATACCTCCTGACAAGGTCTGTTTTATGTTGAAAATTGATACCAAATTGTTAGACAGTTACTAACCGGTTAATAGCTAGGGTTATTTGAATAACAAAAAGTCCTAACCGTAGGAGCACTAACTGCCAGAGTTATGGTCCATGATCACTTTGAAAAATCTTGTAGACTCTAGAGACTAAAGTTAATATCCAAACGACTTTAAATTTATGCACTGTGTTTAAGGTCATGAGACAATGAAGCCTATTGATTTTCAAAGAATTCTGATAGTTACTGCCAGAGTTATGGCCCTTGATCCCTTTGGAAAATCTTGTGTGCGCTCTAGGGACTTAAGTTAATATATTTTTGACTTTTGATTTTCAAGGATTTCCTATAATTGGTGCCAGAGTTATGGCCTTTGATAACTTCAAAAAATCTGGTAAATGTTCTACAGGCCAAGGTTATTATTCGATTGATTTTAAAAGTCATGTATATTGATTTTCAATAATTTGTGATAACTTGAACAGCTAAATCCATGATATTAAATGTTTTGTATATTAAACATTAGCATGAGGCAGAACTAGAAGCCAAACAAATTATACTAATTTTCTGGTAATTACTTAATGAGTTGTTACTCGGAATTAGATTTTAGAGTATTGTAAATATTTCATTACCAACAAAAGAAAAAATATGCGAGAACCTATGTTGACTGCTTAGACAACTTAGCTGCTGTGGACATATATTTCATTGCCTGGCAACCTATCTTTAATAAAGTTTGACATATTCTACAACCCATGTCAAATGGCGACGCCATAACTTATCTGGAGAGCATGCGCAAAAGTCTCGGAATAACCAGACGCTAGAAATTTCTATTCGGTTTAGACTCATGCCGTATTTCGCTGGATATAACTGATTTGAAATTAGAGTAAAAACGGAAGCAATTGAATGTAAATCAGTTCATATACAATCAGATTACATTATTATATACGGTGCAACCCATTTGGGTCAATTTCTAGGTCCCAAATATTAGCGATTTAGCTCCTTTAAGTACACATACATGTGTAGGTATTGAATACTATTAATAAATGTATGTCTTCATGGAGCAGTTCTAACATGATTCATGAGTTTAAGGGCACAACAAGCCAAATCATTCACATATAGCTCATCATAAGTCAAAAACATGTACCATTATAATGTAAAAAATGTTGAACACTGTTGTAATAAAACACATCCATCTATTGAAAAAAAACTGTATAAAAATGGAATGGCTTTTCCAAAAAAAGATAACAGAATTAAAAGTAGTTTATTTGCCTAAAGCACATACAGGTAATGGTTTGAAATCAATAAAACCAACTTTGATTAATTTTTTTTTTATTGTAAGTACTTTTGATTGTGTATATTCTTAACGTCAATATTTCACCTTTATTGTGGGATGTTGGGGCCGTAAGAAAATAAAAAATCTACATGTTTTTCAGATGATGATTTTGGAGTTATAAAGCAGAGTAATCAATATGATTCTAAACAAAGAGGACAGAGGAATGGTTCCGATTCTGATCAATCACCAATTAGAAGAATGGTAGATTGTGACTCACTTCCACGGAAAAACAAGAATGATTCCGATTCTGATCAATCCCTTCCCAGAAAAAATAGGAAAGATTCCGATTCTGATCAATCACCTCCAAGGAGAAAAAGGAAGGGTTCAGATTCTGACCAATCACCTCCAAGGAGAAAAAGGAATGGTTCAGATTCAGACCAATCACCTCCAAGGAGAAAAAGGAAGGGTTCAGATTCTGACCAATCACCTCCAAGGAGAAAAAGAAAACATTCAAACTCTGATAAATCACCCCAAAAGAAAAATTTAACAGATTTGTCAAATACATTAAAAAGAAAAAGTAGTGACAAAAATACAAACTCTGGTAATTCTGATCCAGATGTGTCCCGAAAGAAATCAAAAAGTGATAATAAAAGTGAAGCTAAACCTACAAAGACTTTAGGTGGTGCAAAAGCTGGATTATCAAGTGCTAAAGAAATGCGTGAAGAAGCTGAAAGAATGAAGAAAAAAGAAAACGAGGCATTTAAAAAGGTATGTTTACTTGAAACTGAGTTTGATATCATCCTTATTGGGCTCGTTTGCAGTTAATTATGTAGAACTAGAAGGTTTGAATTTTTGCCAGACTTCTGTGTGCTCTAAATAGTTTCATGCTTTCAGTACATTTATCAATAGCCAACAAGAATCCCTATACATGAATCACCCATTCCAAAAAAATGGCGTCTTGCTGTTGCATTGTGGGAGATCCGTGAGCAAACTCACGAGGAGGCCGCCATTGCTTTGCATGGGATTTCTCTGACCAAATTTCGAAAAACGCTGATTTTACGTTAATTTCATTGATGGGGGATATTTCATATGATGTGATAGAGACACAGATGGTTGATGCACGTAAAGAATACCTCAGAAAGCACATTCTGAAGTATACAGATTGCTAAAAGGTAAAATGAAAACTTCAAAACAAACAGCTGTCAAAACTTAACCTTCGTATCAATCAGCTGATCACTGTCACTTTTAGCAGGTCAATACTCAAACTGTGAGTGTACAGTGTTGCATAGAAATAAATAACACAGGGTACATTAAGAATGCTTAATAAAAAACATGTTTATTACGTTCAGTATTATTCATTTATATATTTTAAAATTAATTAACTATTATTAGTCTTGTTGTATGATCTATTCTATGCCTACCTGCATTTGTTTTGCTGAGTAGACCAGTGCTACCAACTCCTTTTTGCAGCTTGTACACTTAAGATTTCGCTTTCTCAGGTATTCTTTAAGTGCATCAACCTTCCAGGTCTCTATCACATCGTATGAAATATCCTCCATCCTTAAAATAACAGTAAAATCGGTGTTTTTCGCAATTTGGTCAGAGAAATCCCATGCAAAGCAATGGCGGCCTCCTCGTGAGTTTGCTCACAGATCTCCCACAATTTCCCACAGTGATTCATGTATTATGTAAAAGATATAGTTAATGAAAAGACATTACTTTTATAAATAGAACCTTGTAAATCTGGTTTGGGCAATGCACTTTAGTTTTGCAATTCGGAATGTACCAACATCCGATCATGATGATAACATGGACGCAAGCTAATGTTATCATTCGATTCTATGTTATCATTCGATTGACTCGAAATTTGTACATAGTGCTTAAGCCTATTGATTGTCATTGATTTCCTATGATGAATGTCAGATTAATGCCCTTTGATCAATGTGAAGTAATTTGGATTCTTTTGAAGCTGAAATTATTGTCTGATTGACTTGAAATTTATTCAGTGTTTATGTTCACGAGATGAGAACCCTATTGATTTTTAACGATTTCCGATAACTCAAACAGCTCAAGTTATCATCTGATTACCGGGTATAGGTTTTAATGATTATCCGATAACTCAAACAGCTTAAGTTATTATTTGATAACTGATATAGGTTTGATATAATAATATACACTTGGAAGAACTTAAAGCCAATAAAATTTTAATCATTTCTTGTAAATGCTCCCCATTTTTACCTAAAATGGATTTGACAACCTTTGATGATTGCTCGGATGACTTACTTTTGTAGCTGTTGTAGACTTGTATTTTGTTGCCTGACAACCTATTATTGCATGTTTTATACTTATGATAACTGCTTGGTATGTTGTTTCGTAATTCTGCTGATTCACTTTGTTAAGAATTTATATTATACATTAGTCTTTCTTTATATGTATATAATATATGTAGTTAATACAATTATTTTGCATTTTATAGATTGGTGATTCACGGCTAGGTAAAGATGCAAAAACTGTTTTCCGTGATAAATCGGGCAAACGCAGAAATTTACAAGAAGAACATGAAAAACAAGGCGAGGAAGATTCTAAAAAGGCTGAAGAAATAGAAAAATATAAAAAATGGGGACAGGGGTAAGAACTACATGTACTGTAAATGTATGTTTTTTAAATTTTTAAATTCTAAAATTTTCTGTTTTTTGTTGCTGTTATTTCTGGCTAAATATCTTGAACATTTCCTACGATAACTGCATATGTTACATAACAACTTAAAGATCTTTGAACACAGAATTTAAACTGATGCATTGTTTTGTTTTGATTATTTAGCCAGAGCTAGTCACAATCGAGAAACCCGACCGTCGTGATCACAAAATAAAAAGGTCTACCACAAAAGCTAAAGTGACATTAGAATGAAAGACAGTAATCATATCAATTATTGGTTTTTTTTTAGCTTAAAACAACGTCAAGAGCAAGAGAAATCTTTAACAGAAGCTGTTCATGAAGCTTCCAAGCCCATGGCTAGATATAAAAACGATCATGATCTAGATGATCATTTAAAAAATATGGAAAGAGCTGAAGATCCTATGTTAGCATTTATTAAAAAGAAAAAAGCAAAAGAAAAGACAAAACCAGGTATTGTAGTTGCATGGATCTTAATATAAATTATAAATTTAAATTGAATATTAAACATACATTATGCAAGAGCTAAATCTGCCTATTGTAGGTCTTTCTTTAGGCCTGAAATGTTATATAAACTATTAATTAGACATTAATTAATGTATCCAGACCATAATCTTCTCTAGATGTCAACGCTAGCCTGCGATATTAGTTGGATTAAGAACCAATTTGCTGCATAACTTTCCTTCTCGATTTAACGATTAAATGGATAATCGAGACTATCAATTTTGTTGTACCGACTTTAGTAATGATGAACGAGGCTATGCGGAACTTTCGATCGCTTATTTCTCGGTTCATAGTGGATCAATTTGAATGAAATTTTCAGCAAATTGCCTTTACATTATCTAGTTTTTAACTATTATATTGAGAACTGCCAACTGGTTATCGAATCTCCCATAATGTATCTTTAATTTCTCTAAGGTAATTTTTAGGGCTAAAGTTCAGTAAACAATTCCTTGTAATTTGTATAAAAACTGAGGACATTTTTTAGAGCTAAAAAACAGTAAAATTTTACTTGTATAAAAACTGAGGCATTGATTTCTGCAGAGATTTTTCTAAAGATTTTATGGAAGAAAAGGTGTATGAACTAATGAGAAGTGCAGGTATCATATTTTGATCACACCTTCCACCACATTCAAGGTGTTTTTAATATAGAAATTAAATGAAAGATGTTATTTACTATCAAAAGGTGTATTGTACATCTGAGTGCTTACCGTAACTTGCATATTTCAATGTGAATTCTGCATGATGCCAATTCTATGAAAAAGACCTGCAACCAGTTACTAGTTTTGATTATTCAGTCAATGATAATCCTTATAGACATGTTGAAAATTACAAATCGATCAAGTTATTGCCCCTGTCTGTCATGTTACATGTATATAGTATCTGATCTTTGTCGACACAGCTAATGGACTCTTATGACATCCATGGACCCTTATAGAAACATTAGGTACATTGTTTTACAGTATTTGAAATCACACATTTTACTGTAATTGTAAATAAACTTGCAGCATCCAGTCACAAGCATCTATTTAGTAAGTTACTGATCTGGACCATAATGTTTGTATGAATGTATTGAGTTGTCTATGTAATATTATATGTATTATTGAATGTATACGACTATGTCTAAGTGTATATGTATGATGCTGTCCTTCATGGACGTTTTGATGCAATAAACATCTTATCTTATCTTATCTTATCTACTAATGCATGAATTTTTGTTTTCAGAAAAACCAAAATACAAAGGACCAATGCCTCCACCAAACAGATTCAATATCATGCCAGGATATAGATGGGATGGGGTGAACAGGTCAAATGGTTTTGAAGCTCAAATATTTGCCAAAGCAGCAGAACAAAAAGCTACGAAATCTCTGGCTTATAAATGGAGTGTAGAAGAGATGTAGTGATTTAACTACCTTGTTTGTATATTTGTATATTATTAAACTTATATAAAAAAATTCAAAAGTCATGGTGTAAAATTATATATTGATTTTGGGTTTAATTCAAATTAAATTAAGTATTTTATTTGGAAAAAATAATACAACAAAAAACAAGCAGAAATAATAATATAATAAAGAAAACAAAACAACAGCTATTAGTGTATATTATATATACTAACATCTTAAACAAGCTTAAATATAGTCTTAAGACTCTTAAACAATACCGAGATACAGATCTATTGTCAAGCCTGGAAATCAGTCATCTTTCACAGACACTACTCCTCTGATGGCTTGTCATTTTGTCTGTCACAAATTTGTCTATTTCTGATTTTTGCACTGCACAAATTTCTTCTGCAATTTTACATTTTTTTTTTTTTAAACAAAGAAAGCTCATAAATTTAACAATAATACAAATCAGCGACTGCCAGGCAGGATACGCCCACATTTTCGAGAGTTGGATAGAGAACAAGCTAACAAGAAAGTGATTTTTCCTACAATCAAGGGCCATAATTCAGGAAATTACAATTCGATATGCGCAAATATCGAAAGAAACTGAGATCTTTGTGTTATATAATAATACGGTTTTTTAAATCGGATAAAAATTATGACCTCTATAGGGTCCACAAGCTAAAAACGCGATTTTTCGTACAATCAGAGGCCATAATTCAGGAAGTTACGGTCCGATATGCGCAAATATCGAAAGGAACTGAAATCTTTGGGTTATAAACTTACATTTCAAGTTTAAAAAAAATCGGATAAAAATTGTGACCTCTATAAAAACGTGATTTTTCGTACAATCAGGGGCCATAATCCATGAAGTTTCGATCCGATACATGCCAATATCGAAAGCAGAAAAGATATTTTGGGGATAAACCTATATTTCAAGTTTCGTCAAAATCGGATAAGAATTGTGACCTGTAGAGAGTCCACAAACAATTCTGGACGTCCGGACGGACAGGGGTGACGGCATAATACGTCCACATGAAAATGTGGGCGTATAAAAAGTTTAAAACAAGTTAAAGATTGTTAAATATCAACAAAATATATTTTTAGAAAACTAAATAACAATTTTACATGAGCCAGTAGCAAAGCTGATAAAAGTGTTACTATATAAATGTGACGTCATCTGTCTGGTGCCATCCATATTTTAGGTAAAAATTTTACAGTATGGTTAAATATCGGTTGACTTTTATGTTATCCCAATGAAACCAGTGAAGTCTATAAATATATGTATACTGGTAAACATATACATGGACATACATAATCCATATTTATGTAGCCTATTCCATATGGATGTAGCCTGTTAAACATGGATGTAGCCTATTCAACATGGATATAGTCTATTCCACATGGATGAGTAAGTTAAAACAGTATCATAAAAAGTTATGGCAAATAGAAGCCTCTGTTAATTGAATCAGTTTGGAGCTTTACTACATGAAAATAGAATTTTGACCATGTCTTGACATGATTAAAATAGATTATATTTTATTTCACAGTCTGTATATTTAATGGTGGTCCATCTTCAAAACATAACCGGATAACAAACAGTAATTTAGTCCCAAAATACACCAAATCTTTTGTGTCAGAATGCAACAATATACTGTAGAATGGGCTCTAAGATTTAAAAGGTTTCATGTACCGGTATATATATATAAATGTATTAGACATTAGAGTTCGTGTATAGCAAGATGTGCAATATGGTTTATACCTTTTGGGTTTGCCTAAGGGGTTATTTAATAAATAATATAATGTTTTTGAATTTTACTGCCCTACTATACCCAAGTCATGACAAATTGTTTTACTAGTTGAAGTGACATCTATTTCTCCGGAGGGACTTGTACAGGCTATTTGGGGTACATCATTAGGCACTAGTGAATTAGAATTAATTGAGTTCTGCAGGATTAACTCCCCTGTTGCATTCATTGTTAACATTGTTTCTGATTGTAAATTGTTTATGATCATTTTCTTATTTTGAACTTGATCATAATTTTTACCAGTATGTCTTTTCATATGATCTTTTAAGGAATTAGAATGGCGGAAGCGATTTCCACATATTTCACAACAAAAGGGAAAGGCATTTTCATGAATTAGTTTATGTCGTTTTAGATTTCTAGGATCTGAGAATTTTGTTCCGCACTCGTTACACTGAAATGGCTTCTCTCCGAAATGCATGGACTGACGATGTAAAACCATACCGCTGTACTGATTAAAAGCTTTTCCACAAACGTCACACAAATACTCGCGCAGTTTATAACATGCTCGATGATGACTCTGTAATCCATTTACTTGAGAGAAAGTTTTACCACAATTTTCACAAGTGTAATCATAAACTTCTTGATGTGTCTGTTTATGTCTACGAAGAAATTCATGCCTTTTCCCTTTGTACTCACATCCAGGATGATTACATTTAAACGGTCTTGTTTCATTGTGTTCACTTTGACAATGCTTCCGTAACAATGTTTCTGCTTGCATTTTGATTCCGCAAAAACGACAAATAAGGTGCTCCAAATGCAAATGTTTGACTCTTTTATGATGTGTTAAATGTGACTTCATTTTATAGCCCTTACCACATATGTCACAAGCATATGGAGATCCATGTGTGTTTTGATGTAATATTAGCTCCTCAACGCAGCCAAAGAAGGAATCGCAAATTTCACAAGAATATTCTGATGACTCATCTATTTCTGGAACATCTTCCACTTCTTGTTTGACGATTATTTGACTGAGATCTATTTTTATTGGGCTTGATTTTCTCGATCTTGTTCTTTTTAGTCTAATCTTGATGGGTAGATCCACAATGTCTGCACTATCGCTGGCGTCTGCATTTGTTTCTTCTGTGTCCGGTCTTTTTAACTTTTCCTCAAGAGAGACTAGGCTTGAAGTTGTACACTTAGATTCTTGTTTCATAATTTTCTCTGCGACTTCAGAAGATTTTGTTTTTATTGGTTTTTTAACGGTGCATTTTTGTCTGATTTTTATTGGCCCCCATTTGTTATTTTTTCTTTTACTTTTTCTTCTAGGTCTTACTACTTGGTAAGAACTTTGTTTATTTACTTCATAAGTTGCTGTATCCTCCTCCAAATCTGTATCATTGGTCTTTACTAGTTCATTTGTTTCCTGGCATTTTGTTAAATACTTTTGACATCTATCTTCAATGGTTTTAAGTTTCATGAAATGTGCCACATCCTTAATGTTTATTACGTTATCTCTTGATTCCTGTTCTAGATCTAGAATACCAGTATAAATAAATCTAATCACAGGATCAAATGCACTTTTGGAAAACTGTTCCAGATTCAAAATATAGCTTCCAAAATTTCCACTTTGAATTTCCAGTATTCCTTGTAAGCTTGGGCAAATTCCAAACACAAGCCAAGCATGAACTTTAAGTGATGTATCTCTTAGATTAATGGAAAGATCACAGAAAATTTCATTTTGCCACTGCTTGATTAGCATCTGGTTTATTAATTTTTTGTGGTCTGAATCATCTTGATTTTCATCAGGATCATCAGTAAGTTCAAACTCTTCCATTTCGAAACCTGAAAGTAGAAAGTAAAGATATGTAATGGACAAGGACGAAATGGTGTATGGATTGTTCAGTATTTACAATTGGAATATGTTCATAAACTTTTACTCCATCTCAAATTCAGCATAGACTATGGATGTGAAGGCAATCCACTTATTTTTTAGATCCCACTTTCGACAGTGTGTATTTGGGGTAGGGATGGAGCTATCCTGGTTACTTACATTGATATTAAAGGTTGGGGCATAACTTTACTGCCAGCCCAATATTTTTTTTTTTTTTTTTTGGAATTAAAAAGAAATGGTCATTTTGAGACTTTCATTTCAATAATTTGCTTGCGCATGGGGGTCTGGAGGCCTGTCAGGTTGGACAGGCAACCCTACTCCTTGTCACGTACAAGATATGGGAATCAAATTAATCAGACCTGGCGATCTAAAGGGTATGTGTTTGATCATTCAGACCCCCACCCAACTGTGGAAAGTCTTTGATTATTGGTGATTTATTTCTTATTTAGAACATCTCATACCCCGTCTCATTTTTGGGAAAAATCCAGGACCATGTGATGTACCCAGTTGAGCACAGTGAAAGCATCAATTGTGTAAATATTTGTTGCCCGCATGGAATCAATTTTATGATGTTGCTTCACTTTTCTTTACATAATTGTCTTTATGAAACCCTTCTACGACCCAACTGTTCATTATTGTATAAATCTTTCAATTGTTGCTAACTTTCATTTTTTGACTTATTATTATTAGGACTTCCATTCTTTCAAAAATGTCATGGCTAAGGTCGCTTTTTGAAGCTAAAAAATAAAAAGGTACCAAGCCAAACCGGGTACCTAGTCAAACTGCCAGGCTATAATATTTTATAATTTTCCTGTTCTTGATAAATTATACCATTTTTCTATTCTTGCAAAAATATATTATTAAAACCTTTTGTTTGCTTTTTCAAATTCTTCTTGCTACATCAACTGACATGAAAAAATAATTAGTAATGGTTTTATTATAAGTTGGCCAGTATTTCACGGTAAACTGTACGAGTGGACCTTTCAGGCTAACCAAATAATTAACACTTTGGACACCACAGGATGATATTTTCTGCTTCAGTTATCAAAAGGTTATAAGTGAGTTTCAAGTATGGATTCACGTTCTAAACATAAAACTTACCACAAGACAGAACAACAGCTCGTCCCTTATTGTTTTATTTGATTACAATTACTTAAAATTTTTTCACAAAATATGGCGGATCTAGGGTTTATCCTTAGAAAGTAGGTCACGTTGAATAAGTATAAGGAGTTATCTCCCATTATTCTCTTTGGAAAGAATAATTTTTTTTAAGTTCACGATGTTGCAAATGAAACTACATGAAATGCAGCTGCAAATGAAATGGAAGTGGACGTTAAGTGCCACTAACGAATGAAATGAATAGGGTCCATGGTTTTACTTTTCTGCACGAACTATGTTAATATTGAAATGAAAAGGGGTTACGTCCTATATTCTGCACCATGGCAACCGGGCTAATGAAGACGGACATACTCTATGTATTGTGCTATGATGAGGGAATTTTTCTCGGACAGCGGCGCAACGACCTACTCTTATTTCAAATTCCAATTGTAAAGGATTCTTTTACGTGCACGCCATCGTGTACGTACGGGACCTCGATTTTGTCTTCCCATCCGAAAGACTAGACGGTGCGCTGTGAAGGCGGTATTATAATGTTCAAGCTAAGAGGCGTGCGGTAGGGTACAATTTCAATAGTGCCTGTACTTTTCTACAGTCTGTCGCCCCCGACGCCCGCACTATACTGGGCGGTTCACTATTATAAAATTTAGATGGAAGTTACAAACATTATTGGTCCGTGTTATTCTGGTTATAATTATATAATTCTGTCGGGGAGTGAGGGTAGCCTGGGGTCGTTTCTACATACTACATGTACACTATCTCAGGGCCGTAACTAGCTCAGAGCGACGAGTGGGGTGGGAAGTGTTCTCAGTGGTGCTGTAAAATTGACGGACAATGTATGTCAATTGTTTTTATGGTCGATAATTTTTTCACAGGGGGTTACCCCCCCCCCCCTCAGTTGCGGGCCTGTACTATCTACATAATAAGATAATGTGGTAATTAGTATAAAATAGTCTCACAAGGATAGAAAGAAATCATAATCCTGACGCAAAATATTCTGATTTGTAACCCTTTTGGTGGTCTTGAAGTACATATCACCTATAGCCCTTCCTAGCTCGCTCCGATCGTCGACATGTGCTGTTTTGTCACATACTCTTAAAAAAAAGTAGGGGGTATTGAAATGCAAATACCTATGCAGGTTGCGATATTATAAATAGACATTTGACATGCTTTGAGAGTATGTTCACATGCGACACGCAATAGCGCCATACACGTGGGAGGGGTTCATTGTCAAATTTGACAATTTGCTGGTTTATCTATCCATGTTTGCTTTCCTATCGGTTCTTGTATAAGATTTACTGTTTAGCATATCTCTGCTTTAGTGTGTTACGTTTAATTTGATCGGGTGGCGTGTTCGTTGACGTCAACGTCAACCGACCAGACGCGGATCCAGAGGGGGGTCGGGTCCAGGGGGTCCGGACCCCCCCCCCCCCCTGCTCAGGCTTGAAAATTTGAAGGGTTAGGGAAACTTAAATCTAAAAGCCCGAATCTGACCCAAAAATTGCGAGTTTGTATACATTGAGTTGAGTCATGACTTTCATTCCATTGTGGGCAAAAACAAATAGTCACATACAGCTCTGGCAATTAGCCAAAAACGTCGACAGCATAAATTGCCGTCGGGACCAATTGATCCCACGGCAAATCGCCTATTGACGACGGCAATTTTTTAATACCGTACTGTATGAAAATATAAGTTTATTGAAATTTAAAGAGTTTTATTAACGCTGCTCGCCTGTTGACGTTGAATATTGTGTTTGCTTTTTAATTTTATCGGCAGCGTTGATAAGAGAACTCCTCTAGTCATTTATGTGTGAAAATTCCCTGTAACCCTCTACATTTATGATTAAGCCTGTGTAACTATTGCAAGCTATATTATTTATTTTTATGCGCTGAAAGTAAAAACAGTAAACCAAGTCTATACACTTTTCGTCTGCGAAAAGTTTGTGCTCTGGAAAACCCCGACCAACTTTCCTATACTTAAATGGACTGGTTACTCTAATAGTAAATTGATACTGCTAATAAAGCTTGTTAAGAACAACCATAATATGGTATCTGAAGATATTTTGTTCCTCACCTGTGAAGGGAGCATCCCCCATCAACATTTTAAGGACATTTGATGCGATTTTATTGGCGATTTTTAGACCTGTAAATTTGGAAAATACCTTCCGGAAATACGTCAGAATGCACCAAATTGAATCTAATTTACCAAATTTTTCAGGGGGAGGGCCCCCAGACCCCCCGTTAAGCAATTAACCAACCTAGACCCCCCCCCCCCCAAAAAAAAAAAAATCCTGGACCCGCGCCTGCCGACAACACTGCAAGAATTGGCCGTGGCACTGCAAGAGGAGTGGGGCAGATTCCCCCAATGATCGTGATTGGGCGGTTGATTAGGAGCATGCCACGACGAGTTGCTGAATGTCTGAGGATTGGTGGAGCAATTTACTCATTATTAAGACAAAAAACAAAAACGTCCATTTTCACTTTTGACGAATGAAATGGGGCCGTGAGATAAGCCGCCCATATGAACTGTTTATGTTAATGTGTAGGCAATTGGGTTGTTATTAACATACACTGGTTACCTCAAATATATATCATTTATTTCCATAGAAACTTTTTAAGTATTTTATAATTGTCCACTTGAAAATCAAGTCTACACACATTTTTATGGCAGAGTTATCCTTCACAACCGAGGCTAAAAACCGGATATGAAGGTAACATAGCAACCTTTGTTGACATTGTCGACCATTTCAACAACAGCATTGTAAATAAAGTGAAGACGTGTTCAGTGGCACAAACAGTATTCCATCAACTGATTTTATCGGACACAGGTAACGGTTTATAACAAATAACAGTCAAGATGTCTAACATTGGATCTGAAGAAATGGAAGAAGAAGAACAGGGGCCATATTTGGGGGTATGCAGTTCATTATCATTAAACTAAACTTGTATTCTTTAGCTAAATCTCTAACTAACTCAGTAATATCATCCAAAGTCTTCGACGTTGAAAACACGAATTATTTGTCAATTTAAATTAACATTGATATTGTGATCTTACCGGGAAATGATGGGCTTCTGATATCCAATATTTAAGGCAAAATAAACATTTTACCATTGGTACCGTACACGAATCGTGTAATGCGTTTCAGCTCCACTAGTAGTAGTAACAAGGATCTTAGAGAACGAGGCTACGCATATTCCACATATTATGTCGAATGTGGGCTGTCAGGGACGCCATATTCTTATCTGGATAGCATGCGCAATAAATACTATCGGTGTAGGCTGGAATAACCACAACCGCTCCGTTGCGTTCAAAGGCAATAACCTTATTTACCGGTAATGAGGTTCACCTAGTCTGTTGTGCCTATGCTATAGGCCTAGTGATTCATCATTTAAATACAAGCCTTGGCCCAGACCTGCATGTTCAATTGACTTTGACATTTGAATTTGATAATATAGATATTGTTAACAAATTAGATCTAATTCGGTTAGCGTAGCTTTTATTTAATTTGTATAATTCTAGGAGTATGAAGGTGATCGAAATGAACGTGATGAAAGACATGGTCATGGTAAAGCAACACTACCAAATGGTGATACATATGAAGGAATGTATGAACATGGTAAAAGGCATGGAACCGGTGTATACAGGTATTACTAATTTGTCAAAATGATGCACAACACATAAATGTGCCTGAAAAATCTCAATCTAATAAATGTTGACCGTGATAAGATTGCCTTGCAAGGTGACTTGGAGTAAACAGAAGAGATATTGTTGGTGTAAATTTAATGTAGCGATAGACTGAAAAAATATGTAACAATGTTGATATAGGTATGACATAAAATTATTTGATCAATGCCCTTGACTTGGCTAGGTGAAACATGTTAAGGATATTAAAGTGTACTACCGGTACATGCCTAGAAAGAATCAAAATATTATGTGGAGTTGTCATTTTGTGTTGAGATATTAATAAGACAAAATTTCTTCTTTCAGATTCAAAAATAGAGCTAGATATATAGGTGAATATAGTAAAAATAAAAAACATGGCCAGGGAACATTTATATATCCAGATGGTTCCAAATACGAAGGTATGATTCTTAAAGTTAAACTTCTTTCTTAGTTTATTGGACATACTACAAGTATCACTGTATTAAGCACTAAATGTGGTGTTTGATAATTGATTGTGTATTACAGTATAGAATAAGAAATGAGACTAATAATATCACGTGCGTTGTTATTTCAGGTAGCTGGGTTGATGATCAGAGATGTGGTCAAGGAAAATATTATTATGTTAATGGCGATTTTTATGATGGTGAATGGCAAGGTCACTTACGACATGGCCAGGGTGTATACACATATGCAGCAACTAATACAAAGTATGTTGGTACATGGGTTAATGGAAAACGAGAGAGCCATGGTGAATTGATTCATGCTAATCATAAATATGTAGGAACATTTAAAGATGATAGAGTAAGTACAAATACTTACAGAATAATAATAAATTAAGTGATTGTATCCATACTAAGTGTGCTAATATTATAATTACATATTATTTACATTTCTTTGGTGCACACTTTATCAATAGTAACTTTTGTGTGACAGATCAGAAAAAGACTAGCCAGTCATTTAGTATCAATATTATGGAATGAATTGTCATTTTGTGACAAAATATTGTAATTTTATTAGAGATTGGAGAAACTCAGGCCAGATATTTCTGCTTTTCTCAAACTGTTCCAACTATTGGACCAAATCCTTGTCAACCAGGAGGCATTTTTGTACAGTCCTAAGTCATCTCCACTGATCTCTCCTAAAATTCAGTGTCAGAATTACTTTTTTCAAAAAAGTACCAAAATAATTGTGAAAAGCAAATTTATAACATTTGAGATTGTATGAAATATGATGTTGTAGCATTAATTATGTAATATTGTACATGGTGACATAAATATTTAGTTGAGAAAAGATTGTAAAATATATTTAATAATTATTTTAGATGGAGGGTAAAGGAAAATATGTATTTGATATCGGATGTGAACAACATGGGGAATATATACCAATAGAACAGGTATGGATGACTTTCTAATTAGATACCGAGCTACATTATTTAGACTAGAAAAATTAAAATGTCCAATTATTTGTCAGATCTCTACTAATTCAGCTATCCAGACTATTATTCATTCAAGCTTCTCTTCTTTTGGTGCGTTTGGGTGATCCAGTGATCTACTGCATGTGCTTTAGGTCATAAGGTCTGGCATGGTTTCGACCCCAAGTTTGTACAGGTTATCTGTCCAACCTTGTGGATTTCCACCCACACACACCTGAATTATTGAAGTAAAATGTGTTAGTTCCAAAATAAATGGAGTGGATGGTAAATCCTGATTCTCTCTCTTCACTTTAGCAATATTCTGCTTTCCTTATTTCTTGAAATGATTTTATTTTGAAGGAAAAAGAGGATAAAGGAGATGATGAGGAGCCTCAGGCTAATATTATACCAAAATGGAAAGCTGGACTTGTCACTGCCATTCATTTAAAAACAGAAGAAGAAGAAGCAGAAGAAGCCAGACAGGCTGAATTAGAAAAAGAAAAGGCTGCTGCAGCTGCAGAGGGAGAGAAAGCAGAAGAAACTACTGAACAAACAGAAACTGGTAAGTACCTCAATATATTAATAATAAGGTTACATTACTTTCACTATATACTAATATGTATAATTAAACTTGATTCTAATACATGCATACAATAGTACCACATACTGTTTAAAATTAAACCATATAAATAAATTTCTAGTTCTCAGATACTTCTGTGTCACTTAAAATAAGTCATGTGACCTGTTTTTATAATATACAAATTAAAAATAGTAATATTAATTACTACACATAAATATTTTGCACCTGTTGTTACAGGAATTAATTCTATATCAAAATTATTCCTCAAATATTCTGTATGTTCAATTATCAAATGTGCAACCCTGATAAATATTATTGTCAATCACAAATGAAACTGGGTAATCATACATTAAACAGCATGGTGAGATATAATGATGTTTTTAAGAAGTCAGTAGTGAGTCATTTAACCCAGTAGTGATCATTTGACAAAATACAAAAATAAAAACCTCCCTTCTGCATCAGATTATTAGGAGGCAAGAATATTTTCTGTGTATGACCTTATTTGTATGTAAAACTCTGCTAATAAATATAGCCCACAACTAAACTATATATTTGAAAATTGATCATATTATTGTCTTTACTAATAGATCACTGTACTTTTTTTTAGAAGACACGTTATGGCATTGAAACAACATATTTTGTTTTTCTAAACACTTTTCACTTCTTTATACTATATAATATGTTCTTCTCTGTCTTTCTTTCCTTTATTTTTCACGCTCACAACAGCCTAAATCTAATAAGGTATGATTACAATAATGTTGCATATTTTACCCTCTGTCCACCATTTTTATTGACCAAAGCTTACCTAGAGTTATTTTCCTTTGCCCCAAAACTTTTCAATATATTACAGATAAGCTTTTCTGTCAGATCTCATTGGAATATGTCATGTACTGGTATTTGGATGATCTCTCTTAAGGAGATTGCATACATTTTTGCCTTTCTGTCACTACAGTTAAAAATTAATATGATTACGCAATGTCTTTGTAATATGTCATGTACTTGAATGAACCTCTCCATTAATTTTGTGTCATTGTGCTTGCCTCAATGTGTTGTCATGTTTCTTCATTCCTATCATCGAGAGAGCATCATTTTGTAATGTGACTGATTTTTATGCTTGATGTTGTCATGTTTGTATTTTGTTTGTCCCAAGTAACATTTTGGTGCATGTGAAAAATGCAACTAAAATCTTTCAAATCATGATTCATGTTGCAGGATTTTGTTTAAAGGAGAATGAATTCTAATACACTCAATGCATTCAAAATTTTTATATTTTCACATTTTAATTTTGAAACTAAAATAATTGTTGTGGTATATATTATATACTTAACTGCGGTTCATAAAAATCTGTATTAACTTTTTTTTCTTTTCTATAGGTGCTGAAAATACTGAACAAACGGCTGAAACACAAGAAGAGACGTCTGCTCCTGCTACAACTGAAGAAACTACAGAACAACCCGAAGAAACTACAGAACAACCCGAAGAACAATCTGGAGAACAACCTTCAGAACAACCTTCAGAACAACCTGCAGAACAAGCGACTGAAGAACAAACTGAACAAGAAGAGAAGAAAGAAACAACTGAAGATAACAGCGAAGAAACAACTCAGGAAACTCAAGAAGAGGAAGAAAAAACTGATTAATATATTTTAGGAATCTATTTATAAACTTTCATTTAAATCTTTCTTCCAAAAACAGTTGAAACAGAATTGTACTCTTCAGCATTAAAAGTTTTAAAATAAATCAAAGTTAAATAGCCGATTTGAAGTAGACAGTAGCCAGAAAAAAGAGCAGGCGTCACTTCTCGAGTTTCACAGCATTTGTCATGTTTTTAATTGTATCATATTTATCATAATAAATTATAGTTTATGTATTATAGTATAAATATTAAATGTTGAATTTATATTGAAAAAAATAGTTTGTTCTCCATACATGTGTAGGGTGGGTAGCCAAGTGTACCTTACATTAAAAGATCTGGATTTGTCCCCCCCCCCCCTCCTTCCCCTGATGCTTAAGACCCAATTTCAGCTAAAAATTAAGCAATTTGTTGGAGATCAGAATAGACCTAGAAAACCCCCAGCAAATGTCTATTTCAGCTGTTGGATTGGGGTGCAAGGTAATTGTCCTTGTTTATAGTTTAAAATAGTCTTGCTCTGGTTAAGATTTACCACCATTACAAGATTGTATCCTTCGCACAGATGACCTCTATGGCAAATGATATCAAGTTATGTCATCCAAAACTACTAAGCCTACACTCTCTCATGCATGACACCTGTCAATATTTGAGGCCAAATCTCGTCAGAATTAAATCGTCAGGCAACAAATCTTGATTCGTGGCAATTATGTTTGGATAACATGTTCGTGATATTATCTAATGACACTATATAACAGCTGAATAACGTATAGTTAAACGTGCATTATGCAAGAGCGAAATCTGCTTATTACAAGTCCTTCTTTAGGCCTGAAATGTTATCTAAATTATCAATTAGACATTAATTAACTTATCCAGACCATAATAAACTCTCGATGTCAAGGCTAGCCTTCGATGTTGGCTGGATTAGATTCCTATATGCCGCTAACGGCCATTGATAATTAAATAAAATAAAGTGGATAATCGAGACTATGCTGTTCATATTAATGATTTTAGTAATGATGACCGGGACTATGCAAAAATTTCATCCACTTCTTTCTCGGCTCATAGTGGATCAATTTGTCTGAAATTTTCAGGAAATTACCTGTACACTATCTAGTTTTTAATTATTATAGCGAGAACTGCCATCTCTTTATCTTATCTCCCATAATGTATCTTTAATATCTGAATATTGGTACATAAATCAACCCGATTGCCAGTATATAAAACTGAATTAGTGTATAGATTCCGCTATAAATGCTTATCATTGGATGGTTGGGAATGGACTATTTCAAGCAAAGTCAAAAGTAGCAAAGAAAATAAATGAAATGGGTTTAATGTCCTACTTTTCTGCACTGACTGGGATACTATTCTGCTCTGACTGGGTCAGAGAAGACAGGCATATACCATACAGTGGGATATAAAGGACATTTTGCCCGGACAGCTCCGCAACAAGATACTCTTATTTTGAATTCCAACTGTCAAGGGTTCATTTACGTCAGTTTTTTGGTGCCTTACAAACAACTAGACACTGACCTTGTCAGGCCCTTCGTCCTGCACCACTGACAAGGGGAATCTTTTCGGCCTAGACAAGCGTTAGCGAGCGTCTTACTCACTGAGCAAAGACAATAAACACAATTTCATCTAACTATTCCAATCTCATAATTGACCCTCAATGCACAAGGATTATTGAGTCCCAAATTTGAACGGAAAATAACCTCTTCTACTTGCATGATGTCCGAGTATAATTTCAAATACAGTATGACATAAATTACTGGAATTTATTGGGGAATGCCAATAGAAGATACTGCTTACAGATTTACAGATCAGCTGCATTCAGTGAGAACTGCAGAGGCATCAAAATGTCAGGTTAACAGAGTACATAAAATAATTTTAATTTCTAAAAAAAAAATTCATTGACTACAATTGCACATGATCATGCTCTCTCAACATCCATTCAGTCCTGAGATTACTATGTTTAAGTGCGAATGGTGTATATTAATCACCCACTATCAGAATAATCTTGTCTCTTGGTCTTATGCTTATGTTTAGATTTTTTATTATGACGCCTTTCCTCATTTTCCTGTCTGCCTTTTATAAATGTCTTTGCATGTTTTCTGGAACTGTTGTCCTGACTTTCTGAGCTGTCACTCTCAGGTTTTCGTTTGGCTGATTTTTTTTTATCACTTTTCTTTTTCCTATGTTTCTTACTTTTGTCACTACTTTCATGTTTGTGTTTTTTATGCTTTGATTTCTTTTTCTTGGCTTTTTCTTCCTCCAAAATTTCTCTTTTCTTTTTCTCTTTTTTTCTTTTCATTTTTTTTCTCCTGAAATTTAAACAGGCATTATCACTTCTATCAAGAAAATGAATGTACTTCATTTTGAACCCAATCATATCTAAAATACTGTATTGAAAATACAAGCACACAAAAGTATTTAGAGCAAGATATTTTGTGCATTGAAGTTTCAACATTGGTGTTATATGTTAGTTTGATATCTGATCCGTCCAAACAATTACAACCTTTGACCCGATCCGATATTGTGTTCAGATAGAGTTTGGCGTATCAAGAAATTATGGAATGATATATCTGATCTTACATATTTTGATTGATATTGCAAACCGAACAATAAAATATAACACAGACTTTTCTCTCTAATTCCTTTAGAGGGGATGACTTTGTGTGTTTCACACCACACTAAAACCAGTTTTCTGAAATCTGACTGGAGTCTTTTAAAGAAGATAGGCCTACTATTAAAACAGAGAGATAAGAAATTTGATTAAAAGTATTTGAGTTTACCTTTTCCGTCGTTCTTTAGAACTAGTTGATGTGGTAGAACTAGAGGAAGATTCATCGTTTGATCTGCTACTATCAAAATCTTTAGGATATAATTCTTTGTAACCACTATGACCCCATCTGTAATCATAGCAATCAATATGGTTATGTGAAGTGGTATCACAGGTTTTGAGCATAATAATCCTAATGCATGAACTCAACATTTGCAAACCATGTTGCTATTTACAATGATGTAAATAACACTTATCCAGAAATTTTTTTATGGAAAATACTTTTGGAAAAGTTATAGGACTTTGAACGTCACTTGAGGGATTGTTAATCACTTGCAAATCACTAGAAGGAATGTCATTTCAAAAATGATTCAATTCCACATTTACAAAGAGATGATGAAATGAAAATTTCATAACATTCGAGCTGGGCATTCTCTGCAGATGATAAACGATGGTCAAATCAGACACAATCTGATTAAAATACAGATCTATATTTCGTTTCGGTTTTTTATACTTTCGATGGCCTATTTGGCTGTATCAGGGGTCATATGAGCGGCTTTTGACCCTATGAAGTCAGACATTGATTAATCAATCAGTGTTGGCGTTTCAAGTGGTTTACCCACGAAATAGGATCTGTGTTTTAATCAGATTGATAAAAAACAAAACAGGATCTGTGTTTTAATCAGATTAAAACAGACATCAACCAAAATGAAAAAAATTGTATGGTCGTTTTGACTAAAAATTATAACTGTTTTGACAAACTTTTTGTCCATCTTATACAGACTGCAATCTGAACGACAGACTCACCCTACCTGCAGAGAAGTGACTCTGACACAGTGAATAGCCATGATTATCTAAACGTCACAGGTCATGAGGTCACATCAACAAACAAATGTAAACACCATCATTATGATCATTATCAACATTACAAGACACAATGTTAGATTGTAATGTAAACAATAGCCTTCTTGCAGCCTTTAGGACTGTATAATCCGTACAGAACGTCTTTCGGAAGTTCTGCATTCATTTGCTGCCGTATAAATGAAGACACGTAATTCTAAAGGAATATTATGGTTGTGAATTTGATGCCGAAGCAGGATCGGCAAGCTTTCATTCAACATATCACGAAAATGCTTAATTTTGTAGAACATTTACTGACATAAATTTGAATGCCGTACGGGAATTAAGTGTGAAAAATAGCGAGGTCACCAATTTTTATTACGTACGGGATTTGAATATTTTGTTGACATGTGGTTTTTAATTGTGGTATGAATTGAATACTGTACGGGAATTAAATATGAAAAATAGCGAGGTTCACCTATTTTTAATACGTACGGGATTTGAATATTTTGACATGTGACTTTTATTTGTGGTACGAATTCGTCTGCTTAAATAACGATAAGAGTTATGCCCCTTTATTTTCGGTAATATGCCCGACAAGTAAAATTTTGAAATCCCATCACTGTTGTAAACAATAGCCTTCTTGCAGCCTTTAGGACTGTATAATCCGTACAGAACGTCTTATCGCTTCATCCAATGATTTTTCACAAAAATAACATCATCTACAACTCTAGATTTGACGTCGGCATATTGGCACTATTTTGTGCTTCGGTCGTGTCTATTTCAGATATACACAATCAATTCTGTTATTGTTTTTAGCGTGGGGATTGACTAAAAGTTAATTTATTTCGGTTCTAAACAAAAATTTAAAACTTTAACGCAATTTAAAAAAAATAGCCAAATTCTGGCTGGGATTACTGAGCAAAATGGCCATTCACTGTATACGTGCGAAAAAACAACATATTTGATGGGCCTTTTTTTTTAAAATCTGATTGAATCCAAACCAGGAGATATCTTGGATGATTTATGACTTACACTGACTTAAAACCGGAACAGAAGGATGGACAGAGCCCATTTCAATATCCCTCCCTTCAAGAACATCTTAATACCGGTAATGAGTTTGGTGCTGCAAACACATTTCTTCAGAAAAATGCTTTTGATTGTTTATGGTCTTAAACTCTATTTTAACCTTTATTCTGCCATGTTGTGCTATTTTAAATATTGATCAATTATATAATTTGTGATATAAGTTGAATGTTTACCTATCTGAATCTGCCTCTTCTGTTTTCTGTAGCTGTCTCACCCAATAGGTGCTGGTATCTTTACTTTCATCCATGTGAGCTGATCTACTCTTCATATTATATCTACAATCATTCATATCATCTCGTTTATCTTCTAGAAAAGATTCTCCAGTTTTCGGTTTATACATGTATTCTTTCTTGTCCGTTTCTTTCATCTTTGCATGTTGCCTCCACATATCTGTTTCTTCAACAATCTGTAATAAAAGTAAGTTGTAGCTAATTTTTAAATAACTCTATCAACATACGTATGGTTACAAAATAAAAAGACTTATTATAATCATGCCACATAGGGAAAAATCATTGAAATATTACCTAAAATTTGCCGAAATTCTTTTGCTATTCTGATATAATGGGTTTCAATTAAATAAGTGGGGTCACTCATATCAATAATCGATAGTCATGCATCCAGGTCAGTGCTATTGGGATTTTAAAATAAAGGCTATATTGCTATAGCATCCGAGCAGGCCGTCAAATATTTATGATTTTGTAGGTTATAGGAGCATTTACAACTAAATTATCAAGTGCACCACCCCTAAACTAATTATCAGAAATACTTAAAATTTGACAGCACTAACATAAACAAAACATGTATGATAATTAGATGATATCTTTTATTGTATGAGCATTTGCAATCTGATTAAAACACAGATCCAATTCCATTTTGTTTTTATAGTTCAAAATTTCGATTTTACTTGTCTTTACTACACTTGGATCTGGAAGCGTTGTTATTTAACTCGTATTCTGCTTGAAATGAGGGGTCAGCCAATCAAATGGTCTGTCGAATCGAGCATTTGATCTTTTTTGCACGGAACTGTGGGTAGACATTAGCGGCAATAGAAATCAAACAAAGCAAAAGTAGATAAAAAATACATGGCGGTCGCTAATTGAATAATCGAATGACTGACGTAATCGGGTCAAATGTCGCTTGCTTGTTACCTGACTTCATAAAACGTGAACTCCCACTATAACTTCTTAGATCTACATGTAGTTTAGGCCATAGAAAGTATAAAAAACGAAACGAAATATAGATCTATATTTTAATTAGATTGGAGCATTTGTCTCCTAAATTTTAGCATAAATTTGATGGTAACTGGATAACTAGACCATCGCCCAAATTTTTCAAAAGCAATAATTCTCTTTAGCTTTGTCATTTGAGGACCAATACATGGTACATATTTATTTCAATAATTCATTTGTGCCCTGGTGTCTTTGTAAGGAGTACCCTTGAGGTTAGACAGACAACTCTACTCCTTGCTACATTAAAGGATGGATCGAACCCATACTTGACAATGTTCATCTCCTGCATGCATTAGACCACTTGGTCTCACAACCCAAGATGAATTTTGAATTAATGTGTACCCTTACATACATGTGAGACCATTAATTAAGAATAACACACACAGTGCATTGAGAGAAAATGACTTACTCTGTTATGTGTGTCTGTGTGAAGTATATAGTTTTTTAACAAACGCTTTGTTCCAGTAGAAAACATTTTACTAGATAAGTTCAACTGTCAACAGGTCTGAAAAGAAAGTTTATAAAGATAATATTTAGTTTTCTATTTCTTAAAAGATAGGTTGCCAGGCAACAAAACATGCCCACAGCAGCTAAATCGTCCAAGCAGTTGACAAGGGTTGTCACATATTCATTCTTTTGTAGGTTATGCAAGCATTTACAAGACACTGATATCAACTGCATACAGATCGATTGATAATTACTTTTGTCAATAGGTTTCTTTGTTTTACTAATCTACATAATGCATACAAATTTAATACAGACTGGTGGATAACATTTGTTGTTAGAGCGTTCACAAGGGGTTCAACAAAGAGAAACTAGGGCCATAACTTTACAAGTAATTAACAGAAATTGCTGAAATTCAATAAAGTTCTTCGTTTTACTAATCTAAATGATGTATATAATTTTAATACAGATCAGGTGATAAGTTAGTCATCAAAGTGTTCACAATGTAGGTTGTAGGGTGTTTACAAAAAAATGTGGTCGACGGACAGAGGCAATATACAACCACATTTCGATGTGGGCATAAGGAAATATTATTAAAAGATTTGCTTGATAAAGACGAGTGTATCATTTTCAAAATCTTTCAGTGTCATTCTTCAATTACTAAATGCCATTCAAAGAATATGTTTAAGATGATGCCCAGACATCTTTAAGACAGTGTCTGATTTTTGTTTAGATTTATTGTATTGCAGTATTTTTCATTACGACTAGTATATGGGAATTTGTTTAAAATATAAATCTGAATTTCAATAGGTTTCTTTAAACTTTTGTAGCTTTCCATCCATATAGGACTGACCATTCTGATTCACAGTTGTCCGAACAGGTGGTTTAGTCTTTCTTTATGGCGCCTGTATTCAGCTTTCCACTTTCAAGAAAGGATATGGTTACCTTCCTTGATTAATGATAGCATTTGCACCCTTTTTATTTTTAGCCTTAACCTTGGGTCGGCGGTAATATAAGGATTATGCTCCGTTGCATTGCATCTAGGTGTTTCCGTTTCGGAAGTTTAAAGGAGCTAAATCGCTAATATTTGGGACTTAGAAATTGACAAAAATGGGTCACAACGCATATAATAATGTAATATGAATGTATATAAACTGATTTACATTGTTTCTTTTTTTACTGTAATTTCTAATCAGTTATGTTCGGCGAAATACGCTAGAAGTCTCATGTGAATGGCAATCTTTAGCGTCTGGTTTTTCAAGTCTACACCGATGGTATTTATTGCGCATGCTTTCCAGATAAGAATATAGCGTCACCATTTGACGTGACTTGTGGAATATGTCTAGCCCTGTTCTTTGAGTGCCTTGTTCCATATGGCGCTGAAACGCATTATGGTACACGATTTGTGTACCAATTGTAAAATGTTTATTTTGTCTTGAATATTGGATATCAGAAGCCCATCTTTTCCCTGTAAGAATACTAAGATCACAAGACCAATGTTGATTTGAATTGACAAATAATTTGTGTTTTCAATGTCGAAGATTTTTGATTATCAATCGTCATGTTACAGAAAAATGTGAATGTGATAGTTGATCATCAACAACGTTGGTATTCTATTAGTACTTCTTCTCTGAACGGAGGTCTCACAGGGCCAGTGTAATGAGACCTACGTAGTGACGTACACGTAGTACGTTCAGAGCTGAAATACTTTGAAATAGGCCTATCGGCGAACGGTAATATCATTTCTACAAAGTCTGTCATAAGAATAAGCTTACTAGAGATCTTTGTTTTATGCCTACTGATGAATAGTCAAAGAACACTTCAAGATAAAGAAATGACTTTTATAAGAAAACGTTTAGACACGATTCTATAATTTCTAAAAAATAAATTTTTGAGGTAAACGACTGAGAGTTATCTCCCATTAAAATTTGGATTACAAATAAAAGCGAACTACGAATGAAAACCAACTCTTAGAAAATGAAAACAAGCATAAAACCCCCAAAAAGACCGTTAATTCTATATGTTTAAAAGCTAAAATTTATGATTTTAATTATGTGATCTAATATTTCTAACAACTTGATATAAAATATTGCAAACAATTAATTTTTATTTCGGAAAATTAGGTTTGTGATCCGTAATTTGGAACAACCCGGTACTAAGGACGCCAAATTTCTCGGTAACACAGAATAACTAATGGAATTATTTATCGTCTGTTGTTGTAAGTATGGTTACACAAAAGTATATCGATAAACCTTTATGCCGTTCAGTCCAATGACAATGTTCAAGAAAACAAAATAAAACCATCCGTTATTTTCTCACACAACAGTAACAACTAACATTTCCAATCATGCAAATTTAATTTTTTTTTGCCATGTCGGCCTGTCCTGTTCAATGATGACAAGTTTTGTGTTTTAGTAGTTTTTTCTATTTCATTGCACATTACTATGGCATGGGCTGTGTGATCCATGGACCTAATAACAGAGTTCATTGTATTACTAAGGAATTATTGCGCTTTGAAGATATTTGCAAGTTGTTACCGTTTTTGATTTGACATGACAAACAAAAGCATTGGATAGAGTATAGAAATGGTTTCACTACTGATGTCTTCCGCCTTACTCCAGCCACATTAGTGGCTCATCCTACGGAGTTCCTTTGCGCAAGTTTTTTAGTCAAATGACTACAAAAAGGTTACTGGCCTATCGCTCCCTTAATTTACACATAAACTGATCCAAAACTGTACTGCACATAGCTTAACATAATATAATAAACCAATTCTCATTGAAATAAAGGTGAAGCCTTACCGCACAATGATATGAAACCCAACAGCTATGCGAAATTTCTCGCCTACCGAACTTATTTCAACTGGCCTGTGTCATGGCGGCTTTCACATTATAAGAAACATGGCTTTGAAAATGTAGAACGCATTACCACAAAGAAAAACTATTTTATAACTATTTTAGTGTTCCAGTCTTCACTATTTGTGATAGAATTACTTATTTCAATACAAATGGTAATGATATGTGTTGACAATTGTGCGTTTGAACCTATTTGAACTTGCGTAAGGAGTCTTAAAAAATAAGATTCTAAAACATTTTTATTTTAACATGCCAAATAGATGGAAAATTTATTATGATTTTATTTCCACCCAGAAACAAATAACTTACCATGGCTGCATCCAGTTTTGATCAGAAATCAATGATAAACCAAGCTCAGCACATATGGACAATGTTGGATGAAATGGCAGCAAATGATCCAACATCTTATAAAAAGTTTATCGAAAGACATATCAAGGAAGGTAAAGAAGAAATGGCACCACCTAAACCTCACATGTGTATTCGGACAGTTATAAAGGTAATTATAACATTTTATTTTCTTATTTAAAAGCATTAAGGATAACAAAATCGAAAGAATATTGTAATACCTGTAGGCTGTAGCCCTAGTAATTGTACATGACTTGGGCTTATAAACATTTTATGTAAAAAATGCCATTTTCTCTCATAAATAAGATGGGGTTAACTTTTCTACACCCATCAGTCGTATACTATGAGATCAATTTTCACCTACTCTTAATCCAATTCCAACTGTCAAGGGGTGTTTTATATGTGCACACTGACCAATGATTCCATGGGTGGACATCTGCTATTTGTCCATCCAAACTACTAAGTGCTCTTTTTGTCAGAAACATTCTTGACCAACACAGGGATAAAACCAAGGACCTTGTGGTTTGTGCCACACTCACTGATGTCTCTGAACCTACATGGATCTCCTCTTTAATAAACTTGCATGAATAAAGCAAATCTGAATTCCAAGATACAACAATCTGATTGGAGATTGCATGATTCAATATAATTGGAATTCCATTTTAGTTTATAGATATTACTCTTTGTTCTTTTTGTTCTATCAGGCTCCTCAAAAAGAGACACTGTATGTGAACTTTTTTGGTTGGCATCGAATACCTGTACCTAAAACACCAGATGACTCTGTACCAGCCATGGGCAGTTGTATAGAAAAGGAAAAAGATGATAACGGTAAATGCACAAAATTAGTTTTTATTTATCACTGCATGTTTTCGATTCCCTGGTTGTACGTGACAAGGAGTTGGGTCGCCTGTCCAGCCTTGTGGGTTTCTCCGGGTCCTCCCGCTGCTAAAGACCCCTATGCGCAACACACTTGCAATTCAGATCATAACGCTGTCATAGAGTCAAGTGGCTTGGTTATATCACAAGTTTGTATGCGACAAGCGAATTATTGAAATAAATTTGTACCAGTGTTAGTCCCAAAATTACATAGTTTTTGTGTCCAGTGGATGTTAAATCCCATCTCCATCCTGTAGCTCTTTCATGTAAGTTGTCTGATATATTGACAATATACTATGTGTGCATTTGTTTATAGACGATTACATTACCGCAGTATTTAAGAAACGGTGTAACCGGGGGCCTGTTTCACGAAATTTTAACTAAGATAAAATCCAAATTTTAGAAATTTAATTGGATAATATTAGATTGATTTTAGTGCTTAGCCAATCAAAATTGAAGTATCTACTAAAATTTGGATTTTATCTTTAGTTAAAATTTCGTGAAACAGGGCCCAGAAATATAACTCTGGGTTCTAAATTAGCATTAGTCCATTGGTCTTTTTACTGTTTTGAGACTGGAGCTAAGTGGGTAAGATGCTGGCTTGCTAGCCTGGAGGTCACTTGTTCAATCCCTGCATTGGCCGAGATTGATATTCATATTAGCGAGGGAGCCTAATTGAGTAAGACTCATTAGTCTAGGGTTCGCGGTCGGTTTTGCCCGAGAAAGTTCATTGACATTTTCCAGAGTTGTTTCTCCTTGTCAGTGGTGCAGAACAGAGGGCCTGACAAGGACAGCTGTCTAGTCATTCGGATGGGATTAAAAACCAAGAACCCATGTATCTATTGGCGTGATCGTGAAAGATCTCTTGGCAGTTGAAATTTGATATAAGAGTAGGCTATAGTGCCACTGCCTGGGCAAAATTTCCCTCATAGCACACTGTATGGTGTATGTCCATCTTCATTAGCCAAGTAGGAGCTGAACAGTAGGGTGTTAAACCCCATTTCATTTCATTTTTCATTTCAGTTTTGAGACTAATGATTTTCTTGCAAACTAACGAAATATTATGCAATTAGTCTGCTGGACCATCTGTCAATAAAATTAATTTCCAATTGTTATAATATATAATACAATTTTTATTTGGTTATTAATTTTTGGATGCTACGGTTTTATCGTTTTTAAAAGATTTTAATTTTTATCTTGTGATTTACAGGAGTGCATGCCATATTTTCTGTTGCTTTTAATCCTAAAGTATTGGAAGAATTTGGCAGAGAAGCGAAGAACTTAGCAGATCAGGACATACTTGTAAACTTGGCTCTAGATTATATTGAGGATTTAAACACGGTCAAATGTTCAAGAAGTTACATAATTTTACCTAAAGACAACCTATACAAAGGGTCTCTACCAAAATTACAAAAAAGTTTCACCAAAAAGACATCTGATAGTGATAAAAAACTTAATGAGGATTTTGATGAGATGATAAAAACGTTTGGACCATTAGGCGGGTCTTCCGATTCTAAGGGATCTTTACTTGAACAATTAGCTACGATAGCAGTAGAAGACGTTACACCTACAGCATCGTCCCCCGAAAAGGAACCCAAAATTATTCTTCCAGATGCTATAAAGTCAAAACCAGGCCTGATAAAAGAAATTGGCGGAGATGACAAAGGCGGTATTGAAACACCGAAGTATGAAATAGAAAAGTCTTGGAATGACAAAAATCATGGAATGTGTTGTGTAAAAATCTTTTTACCCAAGGTGACTAGTGTTAGTGAATGTGAATTGGATATTTCAGAGGTACATGTACATCCAGTTATTTTTTATTTGTATTTAAGACAAATTTACTGTGGATATTCTCACATGGGTCTGTCAACAATGTCTTCTAAACACACTACTTATTACTTTGTGAGATTTTCCATGATAGGCTTTACTATTGCAATTGTCTTTGTTTCCAGATTTAGCAGTTATGATAAGAGTTTTTAAAATCTTGGCAAAACCTTTTCATTGGGTTGATTTATAAGGAAGCACACTATTTAAAATTAAGGACTAGCTCTAAAATTATTCTGTCAACAAGTCCCACTGGGCAAGTTAACTCTATCTCAAGGTTAGATCTATTTGATGAGGCCAATTTCAAGTTTGGTCAAAGGTCACAAGATGTAAACAGGACTAATCCTAACCCTGGACGTAGTCCTAATGCTTACATCCAATCTCTAACCCTTACCTTATTTACATCGCAGCGACCTTGACGAAAATTGAGGTGTCCTTAACAAATAGATCTAGCCCTATCCCAATCAAAATGTGAATGGAGAGATAACTCTGCAATAGATGTTTGAAATTACTTTATATTTCACTTTTATTCTTGTATATTAGGGACTTAAGAATCAAGTGGGTAGGTACTGGAATCTGGACTAATACGTTTTTGGTTTCAGTGTAGAGAACCCTGAGCAGTTGACAGGAAAAATGTGCCTAGTCCTTCTGATGGTACACGTTTGTTAGCTTAAAATAACCATTGCCATGTGAGATTTGAAAAACTTGCGAGAAACGCAAATGTCTGACAAAATTTTCCTTCCTACCATGTGAATACTACATTTCCCAAGCAGTTATCATTATATTAAGATATATTGTATATTTCAGGATGATTTATCACTAACGGTACCAGAGAAATACAGTTTCAAGTTAAAGTTGGTAGATCCCATAGATGATGAAAAGTCAAAAGCAAAATTCATCAAAAAAAGTCATTGTTTAATGGTAACAATGCCAATAATAAAGAAATAAAAATTATTGTTTTTTTAAACTGTCTTGAATTATTAATGAATGAGCAACTACCGTGGCAGATACACCCACTGGGAGTAGTCAAACAATGACCATTTTGGGATGTTGGTTTGTTAAGCAGTGGACACATTAGCCAAATAAAATTCGGCCGCATGGGTGGACACACTAGCCGAATGCCTTGCCCGATTCACCAGTCGATTGCATCACCTTTCACATCACATGATTAAACATGGTGGAGTCTATGGCTTCAAACAACCACATGACTTCTCGATATGGATGGATGGATGATGAGTGGTGATTGGCTAATAAATTCTACATTTGACAAAGCGGACACACCAGGCGAATATAATGTTTGATTTGTCCGAAAGACAGTGGACACACTAGGCAAATTTAGACGCCAATGATTTGGCCGAATCATTCAGCTAGTGTGTCCACCGCTTAAAAGCAACCATTTGAATAGAGTGAATTGAATTTATGAGTAGGTCGTAGTGCTGCTGCCATGGCCAAATTTTCCTCATAGCACACTGTATGGTCTATGCCCGTCTTCATTAGCCCAGTCAGTGCAAAATTGGAAAAACATTTCAAATGAACAATCCCTGTGAAGTTAAAAATAATCAGACAATAACTGGCTTGTGTAGAGCACAAAAAGAGTTGGACGTACAGACAGTTGCAAGTGATGACAATATACATACAGATTGTAGGAGTATAAACAAAAGCATGTTAAGATTTGTCACGCATTTACTTCAGAAATCTATATTTACAAGAGCAATTTGTTGATGACACGAAAACAATTGTTTAATAAATGTTTAAATTAATCTAGACGTATGTTATTTAAAATATGGTTTATAATTTTCTTATTCTAAAGTCATAGGTTATTCCTTGGACATACCAATTGGATCCAATTCAGGGTCTGCAATAAAAATAAATATAAAGGAATAAATTTATGCTAAACAATACTGTATGTCAAAATTCAGGTTTTTTCTCTACTTTTAAATACAGTAAACTTGGCATAAGTCGGAGCTAAGTGGACTGACCAATTTTATCCGAGTTAAGCGAAGATCCGAGTTAGCCGAAGACCGAAATTCAATCTTAGCCCGATTAGAAATAAACTGCAAGAGCCGGATAATAACTGATTCAAAGTAGTGCCGATTAATCGGATGCCGGATAAAATTCTATAATGTCAATGTCTGTACTGCGTTCCGAGGTTTTTTTCTTGTGATTGTTTGTTGTTTGTTAAGTAAATTATAAAATGATGCGTGAACACAGAATAGCTGATTGTATATTATTGACATTCCCGTGTTCTGACATACCCCTACAGTTTTAACTGCTAATTAAAAATCCATTGTCCGGCAATAGATTACAATTCACTAGTACAACAATTCCCGTGCATAATATTTTAACATATATAGCGATAATCATATTGACGAAAAACACAGAATAGCTGATTGTATATTATTGACATTCCCGTGTTCTGACATACCCCTACAGCTTTAATTGCTAATTAAAAATCCATTGTCCGGCAATAGATTACAATTCACTAGTACAACAATTTCCGTGCATAATATTTTAACATATAGCGATAATCATATTGACGAAAAACAACAACAGAAGACGGTACATATAGAAAAAAACCACTTGACATTTAAAAGGGCGGCAACATATTCCGAGGGGGGGGGCGAATAAAAGATCCTCCTGACTGCTACGGCACATTCTGATTGTGAATTCAATAATAAATTACAACTGGATTTAAAATTAATTTATACTGGAGGAATTTCTAAAGTGGGGAACAGACGAGCGTATTTTTTCGCCAGATCGCGGCGATTTTTAAAATCGCTCGAAAAATACGCCCGTGTGCCCCTTCTGGGCGACGACGATTCTGCTCGGCGAACCATTCGCCCGATCAATCGCTCGTATCTAGCATGTTAGATATTTTTAGCCGAATATTTTTCGCCGGCGATTAAATTCGCTCGTGTGCCCGTGTCGAGCGTATATTGTCGGGCAATTCATTCTTATAAGCAAATCATCGAGATCGTTGATATCACATGATCTCAAAATGGCTGCCATTTTGTACAAGTCATGTGATCGACATAATTACTCACAGAGTGGCGTACGCTCTTGAGACAATCGCTACGTGTGCCTGTTCAGGCAGAAAAATACGCTCGTCTGTCCATAGCATAAGGGAATCTTTTGATTATATTGTTGGAGCATTGTTTTCTTCTTTATAAAACGGTATTTTATTAAAATTACATTGACAGTTTAACACTAGTAAAAAGGCACAGCCAACTTCCCCGTCTCGTACAGCATGCATTCAATCCATGTACATGGATTATAATGCCCATGAAATTATCATGTCTCTTATTGTCTGTTGTTGACATGGAAAATTCTATTATTGCATCGCGTCAAATAGGATTCGAGGCAAAATGACAGAGAAAAGTATTTTGGGGCTCTGTGCAGGGAATACCTAACCGCATTTTAGCCATCGGTAGGAAACTGACGTAGTCAAATTCTGAACATACTGCCGATCCGACTTAGGCGAAGGAAAAAAGCCCGAATTAGATCAAATGGACCGAACATTTGGATCCGAGTTGAGCAAAGATCTAACATAGGAAATCCGAGTTACATGCAGACATTTAATAATAAAAACGTGCAGGATCAAAGGGTCCAAACGATTTTATCCGAGTTGAGCGAAGATCCGACTTATACGAATCCGACTTATGCAAGGTTTACTGTACAAACATTAAAGTAAGTAAGAGAAATAACTTCTTTCAGGGGCAAAGATATGCTTCACATACATATCCTTATCTTAAACAGTTGTCAACATGCATCTTATTAATGGTTTTACATTTGGGTGATTTTTGTTCCTATCAGTCAATTGAATCGTACACTGGAATGGTTATTGGTATGGTTATAAATTAGGAGAGAACAAAATTACTAAGGAAGTCTTAAAACACACTTTATATGAGTTCAATTTCATTGTCCCGAAAGTCCTGATTTTAGTCAATCCTATTAAGCAACATTTTTCAATTCCCAAAGAGCTGCCAGGCAACAAAACATTAGTCCACTGCTAAAACTGATATAGCATGACCAATTTTAATAAAAAAAATTCTGGGAAATAACTCCCTGTTATTGAAATAATTAAAGTATTCCTTCAGTTTCTAATAACAATGACAAAGGATTGGATGGTATTTGAATGGATAAATTATCCTGTTCGTTTTCAAACAACTTTGACAGACCCGTCCATTAAATGAACACATACCTGTAAAGTTAAAAGCAGGGAATTTGGTCATATCTTGTCCTTTAGCATTATAAACTGTCTCCAACTTTGCTAAACTTTCTTTTAGGGCTTGTTCAGATTCTGGTGTAGCGTCTACTAATTTTCCACCACTTGCTCTGTAAATAAAATTATAAAATTGTGTCGAAAAGAAGTGAGTGTCCAGTGATATAAAGAAATTCCATATTAGCATATTTAGTTGCTCTTTCACTAATGTCTTGCACTCAATTATTTCATAAACTTGGTCTTTTGTATTGATGTTCACAGCGACATACATAATGTATGAATAAAAGGTGTCATGCAATGAGAGGAGAGAGAAGTGGGGTTCAATACCCAATCAACAGAAGATACAACTTTATTTCAATAATTCGCTTATGTGTAGGAGTCTTTAGCAGTGTGAGGAAACAAGACCTGGCGAAAATCAACGAGATTAGACAGACAGGCAACCCTCTCTCCTTGTCACATAGGTATGTGATCAAAACCATGTGGCTTGACTCAATGACAGACCTTATGATCTGTGATACTTTTGATCTGTTTTCTACTTACTTGCTTTTCTGTGCATATTCCCTAATTTTATCAACAAACATTTGCTGAATTGGGTCTAACTTTGCTTTCTGTAACGCTACTGCAGAAACTCCAATGTTTCGCTTGGCTTGTTGAATAAGAACATGTCTAGATGTACCTACTGATGACAAAACCCTTGTTAGTACCATCTGAAACAAACATTGTACATTTGATGCAAATTGGTATGATCATTAAGCTGTATGACTAAATCCAAAATCAGTTTCTCATTTTTGGTCCTGGTTTCTTTAATTTACATGCATCTCCTGCCAAATTTGTCAGCCTTTTATTTATTTATTACACCTATTTGGCTATTTGACCCATTGCATTTATGCTCATATAGGCTATTAGAAGCGTTTGATAAAGAAAATGTCTTGGTCAGGCCCTCCATCCTGCATCACTGACAAGGGGAAACCACGCTGGAAATTCACAATGAACTTTCTCGGCCAACCTCTACCAGTTGTTGTGGCACACTGATATTACAGTAGCTTGGAACGTCAGCGGTAATTTAGTTTTGGTAGTTCCAAAACCTTTTTTGCTAGTGGACTTCGCTTTGGGAAACTTAACAAATCCCTCGAGGATCCCCACATCTGTATTGACTTTGACTGTTCAGATTTCCCATATTACAATTACATGTAGCACTTATGGCGAGTGTCCAATTTTCACATTACAATATTAAGCTCCCCGTCCCTCTGCCACCTATCCACGGACTTTAGCAGACCTCTACTGAGAGTCTACTCTAGTATATTGGTTACCGGTAGTACTATTTTAATTTAAATTCGTGACTTGCTGTTGTGTTCAGAGAAACGCTGCATGGTCTGTCAGAATCAAGCTTATAGACATCATAATTTCATGCCATTCCCTCATATTTCACGTTGATTAAGCTCACTGACTGAAATTGGGAATTTTTGGAGCTACCGATTATGACATGCAGACATGTGCCATTATGGCATTATGATGCATTTTTTATCGGCCTACCGATCCGAAAATTTTATTACAAAAGAAACAAAAATGGAAACAACATTAGATCATCATCATGGCAGCTTGAAAGCTGACAATAGACATTTGCTGACATTTAAGCCCTCAATCTATCTAGAATATACAGTTAGTAATAGTGTCTAATAAATTATATTTGAGTAAAATGAAATAACAACCTTGATGTTCTGCTTTAATGCACTAACTCTCGAGGACGAGACTTAAGACGTGATAAAACGAGAACGAGTATTTTGCTAAGTTATTCATCACGTGATATCATCTTATTCTTGGTATTTTTGCGCCGTACGGCCGATTTCCGTTTTAACAGGTTTCCGGTTGAAAATAGACTAAAAACATTTCATTTTGCGTCTAAAATACACATTAATTAGGTACGTATATGTATTTAATAGGTAAAGGGTTATATATTTTATCGGTTCCGTACAGTTAAAATGGTGACCAAAGAGAAAATTTGAAGAACTGGGTCAGAATGTTTCGTTTGATTGAACAGGATGTTGAACGTGGGTCTGGCGCCGGAAGTTTTCTTGTAAACATATCTCTGAGCAGACATCTATTTCCTTTTCCTTATTAGAGTCTGGCACATCCGTTTTGATTCCACAATAACATTTATGCCAATACCCCTACTTTTCAGATATGAAATTTCAAAGATTGAATATGGCCCCATTCGCCACCAGTTCTTTATTTCTCCACAGCCGCCATTTTATACCTGACCTTATTTTATCAACTTCTTTTTGTTGTACTTGTAGGCTTGTCGACATTAGGTAATTCCTTTAAACTCATAATATCAACCAAGAATTGTTGAACGTATTGAACATAGCTAGTTGGTAGTATGATATTAATAAGAATGTGATTGATTGTTTACTTATCTAGGCCTAGAAACACAAATTACATTATCTTTTAATACTAATAATAGGCCTATTTCATCTATTTGTGTTGTGTACTGTCTGTAGTGTACTAGTCCTAATATAAGTACTGTAAGCTACTAGCCTATCCTACACCACTGTATGTATAGTCTGTTAGTGAATATGATTTGCCCAGAAAAGATATCTAAAAGAAAATAATGAAAACGAATGCATAACGTAAATATTCTTGATCATTTTCTGTATAATAATATTCTATTAATCACAGTACATGATACATGACCTCACTACCAGGAAAAGTCATACATTACATGTTCAAATCCTGTGAGGTTATTTGCCTGGTTGCTCAACCATATCCAGCATACCATTTATTATATATATTTTTTTGTAGAAATGAAGCGGGCGGCTTCACCAGCGGTGCATGAGGAAGACACTTCAGATCAAATTGACACTTTAGAAGGTCAATTAGAAATTGTTCAGGATGAAAAGCGGCCAAGAACTGAGGAAGTTTGTCTTGAGGAAGGGTAAGAATAATATTTTGCTCTTTTTTAAAAAAAAAAAAAAATTGGAAATATGCTTTCAATTTGATTATTATTATTAAACTCAAGGTTTTGGGGTTTTTGGGGGTTTTTTTTTAATGATACATAATTACATGTATGCTTGAACATCTATAAAAATTAAATTTAAAGGAGCTAAGTCTCTAACTCAATATTATCCAAAATCTTCAACATTGAAAACACGATTTATTTGTCAAATTAAATCAACATTCATGTTGTGATCTTACCGGAAAAAGATGGGCTTTTGATATCCAATATTTAAGACAAAATAAACATTTCAGCCCCAGATGTATCAAGAGACTCGAGGGACGAGGCTAAACACATTGCACCAAATCAAACGGCGTATGTAGACTGGAATAACCAGACTCTAGAAATTTGCACTCGCTTGAGACTGCTGGCTTATTTCGCCAAACATAACTGATTTGAAACTGGAGTAAAAACGGAAACCATTGAATGTAAATCAGTTTATATACATTCATATTACAGTATTATATGCGTTGCGACCCACTTTTGTCAATTTCTAGGTCCCAAATGTTAGCGATTTAGCTTCTTTAAATGTTAATTTCAGAAGAAGTTTTTGATTGTCCTGATAAAATACAGGACTTTGGTCTTCAATGGTTAGGATACTTCACACAGGGTCACTTATTTTTCTTTTGATTTTTTACAGAGTTGTTTATGCTGAAGAGGTCATCCATCAGCAGCCCGCACCAAGCTATCAAAACCTCATCATTCAACATATGGACATAGCTGAACCATTAATGACATTAAAGAGATTATTAGAAGTTAGACTTCAGTGTTCACTAGCAGACCATGAATTTTATTTACAAGATTCTGTACCTGTAAGTCCATCATAATTTATAACAATAAAATATTATTTGTTTGAAGGACATGGGAAATTGTTATTTTTTCAGCTTCTGCTCAGTATAGTATTATTACTTTACTTTTTTGTAAACCCTGCTCTTCTTTCTATATATGTTCCCCAGGCTCATTTTGCAGATATATATGTATTCTTCATTTCCACAGTTTTGAAAAGACCAGGTTCTACTTAATTGATTAACAGCACAATGTTTTTTGGGAAAAGTATGTTAAGTTCTCTGTAGAACTAAGATATATCAAATCCATTTACTTTTGAAAAAATTAGAAATTATGCCAAAAATTAAATACTTGTTGTACTAAAAGTGATTACATTACAAATTTAACTATTACTTAAAAATAAAATTCAACAAAGATAAGTATTTAATTTGGTTGATTTGATGGTATTTTGATTTATAGTACAATGTAGTGGCATGTCAATCTACATATTGTATGTCTTTAAATTGATGTTTTGAAAAATTAAACGGAAGATGATTTGTTTACTAATTTTAAATTTGACTTTTGGCTTATTACCATCTCTCAAAACATAATAACACATAAAGATTTGATTAAACTTAAGATTTTACCAGGTGAAATAGGTCTAGGCCTAGGTGTTTTTTTTATATTTATTTAGAAGATATAATATTTTTAGGACAGAACAGTAGGACGGTAAACCCCATTTCATGTTATTTCATTTCATTTTGATATATTTGTTTTTGTAGTTGGATCAAGATAAGAGTTTAGTAGAACAATGTGTACAGGGAGAAGGAATGGTACAGATTAATTTAGAGGTTAAATCTCAGCCAGGTATAATATGACTTTCTTCATTTGCATGGCATAATAGGATCTAAATGATTGATTTGTCATTTCAGTACTCCGGGAATGATTAAGATAGTCATCTTTATGTAATGCATGAAAGATACATTCTCATGGAAGTATTTATTGGGTGTTATTTTGAATAAAAGTATGTCAATTTTGGTATATATATATGGAAAGTAGAGACACCCAATTCAATTAGAAAAATACTGGATTCCCTAAAAAAACACCCATACAAGACAAAATTGAAGGGTGTCCTTAACTGACATCATGTCTTCTCAAGTGTTGATCTAATGGTTAGTGGTTGTGAGAACATTGGGAGAATTTAACGTCCAGTAGACTCTGCCAAGTTGACATATGATACTTCAAGAATTTACTTAGCTTTTGATATTTAGGGTATATACAGCGACTGCCGACTAATGACTAATACAAGCCAAAAGTAGATTGTCCCCCAGTCATATCATGTACCAAACAAGATTGCTTAAAATAGATTTGAGTACTTTCCTTCCAATTAAAATGTTTTGAGAGGGATTAAAAACACACTTTTAAATCAAAAGATACCAAATCACACGGTTTGTACACAGGAAGGCATCTTTGTGCATGACCAATTTTGTGATCTTTTTTTTTTACAACCTAACATTGATTGTGTGCCTCGTTTTCAGGAGTAAGTCCGAAGATTAATATCGTTGATATTTTGAAAACAGCAGATGAAGTTGAAGAGCAAATTGAAGAGGCACCTGCCAGTGAGTGTATTTTGTTTTATACTTTTATTGAGATGTTATAATGGAGTTACCTCCCTTTGAGATAGACTACCATACCCGAACAAAATATAAGTTGTAAGTGTTGTTTGGAGATTAAATTATATATTTTTTTTTAATTTCAGCTACACTTGCTACCACATTACAACAAGCTATTCAACAAGCACCCGTTCCAGCGGTGCCTAATTCCACTAAGGTTGTTATTCCTTTACCTGAAGAGAGTGAGAATGTTACAAGGTGGATTGTAGATCAAAATTTCAGAAAAGAACAAGAAAGACTGAAGATACCATTTGGTTAGTAGTAGTGTAATAAATACTATTTTTGTCAGAGTCTACACCAGTGTTTAAAATTTGGCAAGATAATCTAGACCTGTAAATCAGTATTTTCATCTGAATCAGTTTAATACACTTGAATTGATATACATGTATGATGCGTGTAGCCAGATGCAGCATATTTCTTTTATGACTTGTGTATCGATTTAAAGTGCCAAAGTGGAAAATTCTGAGGAACTTTCTCGGCCAACACCAGGAACAAATCTGATTCATCTTGGTTAGCGAAATCTCTCCTTAATATTTTCAATAAATCAATAAATCAAGCCCACAAAACACAATATAGTTCAAACTATTTGTTCATGTAGGCATGATTTAAACAAGAAATTTTTGTTTTTCTAGACCCAATGCAATGGAATGAAGTTCATGTTAAACATTGGATACAATGGGCTCTTAAAGAATTTGGATTACACGACGTCAATCCAGACACATTTAATATGACAGGAAAACAATTGGCTGAAATGACTCATGCAGATTTTGTAAAATATGTGCCTTCTGATCCAAACGATGTCTTCTGGACTCATTTAGAATTATTGAGAAAATGTAAATTTGTTGGTAAGTGAAGCAAATATACTTTTTTCGTATTTTGAAATTATTTAACTAAAAATTTCACAAGATTAGACTGGGTAACAATAAACCTTAATATAAACAAAGCCTCTTATAAAATATGTCACTATCAAGGTAAACGGGTGGGGGGCTAAATGTCTTTTTATATGCCCACATTTAAATGGTGTAGTTTCCCCTAGCAAGTCCATCCATTCTTGTCTACATTGTTTCAATTTGTAGCATCATATGAATGGCTCTAAAGACAAAAATTGTTATCATCCATTCTGTGAAACGCTTATTTCCCCTAGCACAATTTAATTATACAAGTTGCCATTGGATATGCATTCAATTTATAACAAATAGTTTGTATTCTTCTTCAGCTGTAATGCAACAACCAACACCACATGCTATAACAACAATAACAGTATCTACCACTGATAATGAAGGTAAATAAAATATTTACATGTTTATTGCTTCTTCTTATGACCTGGGTCGTACCTGTGAGGCTGAACAGAAAATTGCGTTATTCCATTCTTATATTTGTTATATTTGTCATTCTTTGTCTTGAAAATGATTTTTTTTTAAAAAATATATGCCAATATTGTCCATATCTTGAATTAAAGATTTGATTTGAGGATAGAAAGAGCACATAGTTAAAGGGGGGTAATCAGGCTTTCTAAGTCTTTAGCAACTGTTAGTGTGGAATTAATTGCTTATTAATATTAATGTCCACTTTAAATGTCCTCATTAATAATTGTTAATTAAAATTTTTATCTATATGCATTGATTACAAACTTATTTACAAGAGATATAAAACGAACAAACAAATTTAAAAGATCAGTTCAGTTAGATTGGAGTTAAAAACTTTATAGTCGTTTAGTTTAGCAATCATGCTTTAATTTTTAGGCAGGATAAAGAGTGTTACTAAGCATCAGAGATCTCGTTCGCCTCGTATAACCGGAGATGAGAGGTTATCTCCGGGCAACAGAACAGGTAGGGGTATGTTTCATTTTCTACATGTATATATATAGATACAATTAGTATGTTATTATATACGTGAAAAGACAGATTAAGGATGTTCTCAGTTATTGCAGCATTTAGCAATTAAATACCATAACTTACGATAGAATAGCTGATCGGGGCTATTCTATTTTAAATTACCTGGGGGGCACAAATGAGCACTTTTTCAATACACTCTCAACAATTTTTCTTTTCCCCGCCAGATTGTTGGAAAAAGTGGTGTTCCCACCTCCCAAGTACTTTTAAAGTACTTTTAAGTGGAAACTGATTTTTCTAGACCACCCAAGATCATTTTGAGAGGGGTTACCCTTCCTCCCCAGGTTATTTGATATTTTGTAGCCCTCTGTTACTTTATACTGTTTTTTCATTGTAATAAATTTTTAATTCTTTTAGGAAATAATGGGCAGATACAATTGTGGCAGTTTCTACTTGAACAATTAACAGATAAAGATTGTAGAAGTATTATTTCATGGGTCGGGGACGAAGGGGAATTTAAACTCATCAACCCAGAAATGGTAGCTCAGATGTGGGGTAAACGTAAAAATAAACCAACAATGAATTATGAAAAATTAAGCCGAGCTTTGAGATATTACTATGATGGAGATATGATAGCAAAAGTAAGTCCGAATTTGTATTGTAGGATGTTAATCTATTGTTGTTGATGATTTTAAGAGTATAGAAAGCCAGTGTTGATATTAGTAAATCTTTGATACAACCTCGGATGTTAGTTTATTGTTGTATAGATAAAGCCAGTAGTATTGAGATATAAACCACTTCGTCTTTGAAATAACCTTTTAAACCTATGGAGCTTGAGCCATCACTAATCGAAATAACACTTCAACCAAATTCAATATTTTATTCTAAGTCTAAGTCAAAGAGGTTTTGCTTGTTTAAAACTGGCATACAAATAATTAATATAAACAAGAAATTAATACTTTAATTTAAATAAATGAGTTTGTGACCTATCACCAGTCTCATTATTTTCATAACACGTTTTTTTCTGTAACATTAAGTGTATGTAGTTAGTACCATTATCCTGTAATTTACTGGTATTATTGAAATAACAGTTCTTTATTTGTTTCTTCTTCAGGTACATGGGAAAAGATTTGTGTATAAGTTTGTTTGTGACCTGAAAATGTTGTTAGGTTATAATGCTGAAGAACTAAATAATCTCGTCAATGAATGTGTTTCTAAAAAATATATCGAAATGCCTCTTCATCAGTTACACCAAATAGCACCTGGAAAATATAAGACATTATGTATTAAACGCGGAATTGACCAAAAAACCCAAACCATGTGAAATCCTGATTCCTGTAAATTCCTTCATCCAAGAGCCTTGAAATAATTCCAATCTCCTTAAATAATTCTTTATCAGTGAAATATGCCCAGAGTTTGAACAGATAATAGATAGTTGGTTCTCTTACAAAAAGGATTATGTTTCAAGGGAGAAAATTTCAGGTACAAATGAAAATATTCTTTGATAATAATTAAAGCTACCATGACATGACATTATTATTGAGTTTTAGAATGCTCTGTTTATTTTTATAAGTGTAGATTCTTTAACCGTAACATATTACTGTTGACCCTTTATTTACCTCTTTACATTTTATTAGCACATTCCTGATTTAGGAAAAAAAAAATTCTCTCAGACCAAAAATATTGATAGCATATTGTTATTGTACTATTGAGTTTACTAAAATAATGTTAAGTGTTTTGACCTGTGACAAGTTTGTAATAAATGTTCTAATATATACTGGGTATATAGCAATACACTGTGGTAAATATATCATACTGGTACTGCCGTATGATTGATTCAGCAGTTCTTGTAAAATGGGAGATAACTCCACCATTTTAAGAACCGCAGCTCACAGTTTTGTCCAATTGATGATTGTTAAGTTACAATCAATTGAAATGGATTGGTAGTTCTCAGGAATAAGGCCCTTAAAATGACTGAAATAGATTTTAAGATTATGTAACCTCTGGTAATTTTCATTTTTATGTATTTGAACCATGAGCATTCTAGTTGATAGTCCAGTGCCCAGACGGATCAACCATCCACGGCCCCGAGCACCTCAGAGAATACAATTAGTTTAAATATACTTGATTTAGTTGTTTGTATTTAAAGTATTATAACATAATAGTGTCTTCAAATGGTAAATTTAACAATCTATGAAAACAAGTGCTGGAATATTTGTTACTGGCTTGCGCAAGTATTTTATAAATCAAAACAAACTATGTTATAGTGTGTTGGGTTTTTTTTAAAACACCAGCACTCCAGACTGTTCTGCTCTGACTGGGCTAATGAAGACGGGAGCTTGAATATAGATATCAGTTTAAAGATTAATCGTTGTACAAAAAGCCGAAAGATTAATCTTTGTTATTAAATCATGTTGCCTTATCATTCAATGCATTTATTGTGTACATATTGTTTATAAATATATTTTCATCATATCTTACATAAATATCATCCTCATCATCATTTATTTCATAGCATCCTTACAAGGTTTTCTTCATTTCTATCAAATATGTAAAAAAAAAAACTGTTCTTTAAGAGATTTATCATGTACATAAAAATGTACTCTTTTTTTTTTCTTTTTTTTTACCTTTAAGACGTTTATTTTTCTTACGATAAATCATTTAGACATCCTTACTAAATGTGAAGATCACAAAGATTTTGTTTTCAGTTTACAAACTGAAGCCTGAAAATTTAGACTAAATGGTAAATACATACTTTTAAAACCATAAACATTTAAAAAAATTAAATTTAAATCTGTTTTGTAATTGAATATCATCAAGTTTTCTGTAATAAATTAGCCCATTTTTGGTGTTCCAAAACAGCTCCTGATCTATTTCTTAGAACTTACAAAATACACCATACATTACTGTAATGCTTGTCTTTGAATTTATTAAATATTATAACAGGAGGTTATTTGGATTTCCAACATTTATCAGAATTTTCATAATTATGCCAAATTGATCTCTCTGTATATAATTAGATTGGGATTCATGTAAAAACTATTTATTTCCTAATAGAAATAGTATTAGAATTGATAAAGTGGTGCTTTATAAATACTGGTAATAATACAGATGTTCAGTATCTAGTTGTTATAGTTTCTCTCATTGTAAATAAATCATATTATTATAAGTATAACTTTCTGGTTGTTGTCAGTTGCCCCCTACCCTACCGTGTTTTTGTCAGTTTGCCGAAACATCGATAGTTATGAGTTTTAAAGACATTTTACATATATTTTATTCTTGAAACTCCTTGAAAGGAGGCAAGTCTATTACACAATATCATCTACAGTCTTCACATTGCAAACACGACTTATTGGTCAATTTAAAGAAACTTTCCCAGAAAAGTATTTACCAGGTGGTTCTATCCAATAAAAGTATGTCAAATTTGGTATATATGGAAAGTATAGACACCCAATCTTACTAGATAAATACTGGATTACCCGAAAAACGCCAATGGGGCAAGCACTGGGCAAAATTGTCGGGGTAACTCGACTGTTATCTGCCAGCTTATTGTGTGCCACCTTAAGTGAGGAAGCGGTTGTTATTGCTTGATAAAATGGTTAGGCGGTTTGGGGAACATTGTGGGGTGTCGACGTACAAACGACTCTGCAAATAAACGGCAGAAAAAGAAGTTGACAGAAATAATTAAGAATTTACTTAGGCCTCAATATGTATGGTAAATCATGGAATAAGGTCCATGGGTAAATGTACAGTAAGTAATGATAATACATTCTGAAAAATGGACCCTCCAACAATGAAGCTAAATTGACAGACATTGCGTCTAACAACAGCTTACTTATTGATATAGGTATTGAGAGGGAATTGGGGCAAATTTTTGATAGATTGGTTACTTTGAATATGGTTTTAGTCCAAATATATCAAATCACAAAGTTTGTATGCGGGAATGTACCTTTAAATCAATACTGATGTTGTTAAATTGCCCTGTAAAGATAGACTTCTGATATCCCATATTTAAGACAAAATGGAAATTTTAAAACTGGCACACGAATCGGGCGCCAGAATGCTTTTATGCGCCATTTGTAATGAAGCGACTTGATGAACGAGGCTAAACATACCCCACAGGAGAATACTATCGATGTAGATTGGAATAACCAGACGCCAAAGACTGCCATTCAATTCAGACTCTTCGTGTATTAGAAATTAAGTGAAAACAGAAACGATTGAATGTAAATCAGTTTATATACATTCATATTATATTATTATATGCGTTGCGACCCATTTGTATCAATTTCTATGTGTAAAAGAATAGAGATTTAGCTCCTTTAATATATGGCATATTAAGAATACGAGTCCAGATCATACCAGCCGGCTTATAAGAAGCTGTCAGATGCATTGCCGTTGATGGAACCAAAAGAGTTTATACGCAAATAAACAAATAACCAACAACGTATCTACACTGATTCTACCCCACATTCTCAAAATATGTTATTGTCTTTAACGATATTAAAGAGAGCTACAATATAGGTTAAGCTAATACACAAATACCTTAAATCATTACTAACATAACAACATAAAATTTACCGCTTTCTTGCTTCTGATTAGCCTACAGCAAAAATATCAATGAAATTTAATATTTGGTTTTAGTTGCATAAACTAAATTGTAAATTATCACACCATATGGAGAGCTGTCACATTGTCTTGAAGAAATGTGTCCGGTGTGCTTGTTGTGGGATCAAGGCGTATCATCCTCTCAAGGGAAACACAAAATCACCCGTCATTTCGTAAAAATGCCTCACGGCCGTCCGGCATCCCATTATCATAGTTGATAACTTTTGTATAGAAAACGTCGCTCAACGAAGCGGTCGCCTTTAGCGCCGAATGCTGGTCGTAAGTTTCCGCCAACAAATTAAGTCTCTTCGGACCCTTTCCTCAAGCACTGGCCATTAGTTGGTGGAAGTACCCGTATAAAGTAGGTCTAGCTAATTAACATCTGACATAGCACACTTCAAGTCTCAAAAACACCTTCTCTTTTCTTTAACCACCTAAAAATTATTTTGTAGAGTTTTTTTGTTTTTTTTGCTTTTTCTTTATACAAAAATAAATTATTCTTATGATTGTAGACTGGCAACGCATGTACACATTATTGAACATCTTAATAACAAAGCTTTCTTTTCTTACTTTCTATAGTCCCGTTTTGTATATATACGATGATCAGTATCTAATAAAATCGATGAATAGAGTCAGTTTGTTCTTTGCGAATCCAAAATACGAAAATAAATGGGTATCTAATTTGATTCGCCAGAAAACCACGCTTATCCGGAACTGTCTTCACACTTCACAATACAAAACATACATGTTTCTAAAATCTCCAATATTATATAAAAGAGTCATCCGTTGTTACTTTAAACGTGAAGCGGTCCGATTCTTTGGATATCTGAAACTACGATATAATATAATAGGTTGTTTCGACATAAGTTATTCTGACATTGTTCTAGAAAGCGCCAAAGTAATAAGAATTGTTTATCTTCTTTTTTTTTTAACATACAGAAATTTTCTGCAATTTCAATGTTTCTATGACACTTTTTCTTTTTTAATAGTTTCTTCTTAAGAGAAACACAATTAAATCGCCAAGATTTCTTTTACAGACTTGGGGAGATTGGATCGTGATATTACAATTTTCTAAAAATGTATTAGCATGCCATTAAGGCGCATTAGGAATACATCTGAGGATTTATTTTTATATTGATGAAAGACAATTATACCCATTAAAATCTTGCAATAATTTCTACAACTCAATTAAATCATAATTAATTGATATTCTTTTAATTCCTAAAATATTCGACACATATGTGTAAAATATGCACGCGAGCTTTATTTTCGTCTTTTAACAAATAAAACGCTCTAGGGGGGAGTAACGCACGGGAATTAGACTCGTCTTCGATTAAAGGGTAGTCGAATATCATGTGGCGACCTCGTATAAACATCATGAAGGAGTAAATATTGAATCAATAATTTTGCTTTTACGAATAAATAAAAGAAGTTTATACGAGAATTTAATGTGACACCGCAGTGATCTCCGCTATGTGAATATTTGTTTTTTAGCACGGCGAATCTCCAAAACTCATTCATCTGGAAAATGAAATTGCACACCGAGTAATTTCGTTTTTATACCGCTCCTAAGGTGGTTTACTTAACCGTAGATTTATGAACTAAGTAAGCCTCTTTACAAGTGAAGATTATCATTTAAGCACAAAATGATTACACGCTATACGCCACTCGAAAATTAATTTAAAACCGCGGGTCGTGCACGTGTGCTTCCAAAGAGACAAAGTTTTTTCCAATCTCTTAATCTTGAAATGAGACCAAAATTAGCACTTATGCGAAACCAATGTTTTTGAAACACACTTAATTGCAGTTGTATAATTAGTCATTCTATTGTGATGTTTTAGAAGCTAGTAGCTTACTCTGAGATATATATTAGGCTTAAAAAGTCATAATAGGGTAATAAAACTAAAGAAAAAAATTGATCTTGGGTTCCAAATTATGATATTTGTAATGATATTTATAGACTAAATAGAAAGTCAATAATAAATGAAAGTTTATTACAGATCGACATACATGCATAGAATTAGGCATATTAGCATACGCATTACAAGGTTAGAAGTTAGAATTATGGGGGAAATTCCGCTCCATACTGCTGTAGCCTCCATCGTCATCTTGCAGATATATGTAAAATCTCTAAGGACATAATGTTTAAGGAAACAAATATATATTCCTTGTAGTTTGGCAGAAACTATGGAATCTATAAAGGGTTAACACCAGCTTTTATCATTTTAACAGATACGCTATAGTTTTTGACAGGAAAACTGTATGGCTGTTGGAGCAACCAATTACCCCACAGAAATTATTTTCTGCAATATGCATGTTGGCAGCGGGGAGGTCCACGGTGGTGACAACGTCAAGCTTGGCGTTAGGACTGGGGTAACTACCTACAAATTTGATAAAATCAGAAGCTTTGAGACAATATTTCTGCTCATTTAGGTACATACATGTATAGAATTAAAGTGTAGTGAGCCAATACGGCGTTATTTCCATGGTTGTTGGAGAGTGTGGGGTGTGTGATTGCGTCATACTTTTGAGTGCTCGATTTATTTGATGATGGAAATATAAGAAAGCTTACCTCGACAACCATTTATTTTATCTTAATAAGATTTAATTAGACTGCAGGGAACAGATGTATTTTCCTTGCTTCACTGGCAATACCCTATAGTTCGTTCGTCATCTCCGCGAAAAAATTAGCTTTACTCGGCTTGCCCCAACCCTATTAATTACGACATTATTGGTTTGATGTGAATATCAGATATCATACCTTTTTTTTAAAAAAAAAATCCAAACACTGACTTTAAAGAGGTATTATCTCTTTCAACAAAAAATTAACTGTAATTCATTCATATAATATTTTTTAAAAAACTAAACATATAATTAACTTGATTATTGATAATTCACGGAAAGATCTAGCAATTTGCACAAGCCTCCACTGAACACTGAATTTAGATCATAATCGTGCTACCCATAGGCGTAGGAGCCGGGCGGGCGGGTGTGTGTGTGTGTGTGTGTGCGGGTGCGCGCGCGCGCGTGTGTGTGTGTGTTTGAGGGGGGGGGGGGCTGCAGATTCGTTGGACCGTCCATTTTTCGGACGCAAAATTCAGAGAACCATATATTATAGAAATATATAGAGGATATTTGTCGTTTTAGAGCGAATAACATATTTTATTTCATCGAGAAGCAAGAAAACTTATATTTTCACGAATGCGTAGCATGAGTGAAAATATAAACGTTTTCTTGCTTAGAGATGAAATAAAATATGTTATTCACGACAAAACGACAAATGTTCTATTTATTTTATGTTTTTACAATCATTTTAGGTAAAAACAACATGGACTACTTGCTAGCCAGTGGAATAACACTTTTATTTCACTGATAAAACGCGGTATTCCACTACTGATCATAAAATAAAATTGTATATTTGTAAAATATAATCACTCGCAGTTTACGTTTTGAATACTATAATACTTAAAGGAGGCAAGCCTATAACACAATATCATTTATTGGTCAATTTCAATCAATATTGATGTAGTTATCTTACCCTGAAAAGTTGGGCTTCTGATATCCAAT